TAAATAAGATTAAAGCTTCTATCGAACTCGTAGAGTGTCTTATCCAACCCTTCGCTAGGGCTTCGTTGAGGTAGATTCTCAGCGCCGCTAACTCCACGTTAGATAAGTTGTATAGCGGGCCAAATAATGGCGAAGGTCCGAACGGAGCTTCGTAAACAAGTGATATACTTATTAATTCTTAGTGTAGGGATCTATTTAGGCTTTCAGTGATCGGAGATAGTTATCGAATTAGTGTATAATTTAATTTTACTTTTAACTAGTATTTATATACGCTTAAGCGATATTAAGTCCGCGATTTACTAAGTCTTTAATTTAATTTAGTAGAAAGTTAATAAACTCCTATCATATATAGTTATAATTCGAAAATCTATCCTTCTTATTAGTCTATAGTTTTTTCTAATTATTATTAAGAGATTAACGAGCTTAAAGAATCTTATTCTTTTCGATAAAAAAGTTTTTCGAGATTAGGCGAAACGCTTTATTTATCTCTTATATTAGAGCTTAATACTCTTAAATACTCTTTTTATAATAGATTAATAATTTCTCTAGTTAAATTATTTTTTAAGGCCGCTAGATAATATTATTATATTTGAGATTAATATTATTTGTAGTTCTCTTTATTTCTAAAATCGCTAATAACCTCGATTTATTATTATCGCTATTACGACTATTCGATAACCGTCGGAAGGCAACATTTAAGAATTCTAGCATTATTATTCACACCACCACTATAAAACTACTATATAATTCATATTAAATAATTATAATCTATTATATAGACTTTATTTAATTCTTTCTATAATAGAATTATTCTATATAAGTTTCTTTCTTATATAAAGAGATTTTATAGATAGCGTATCCCCCTCTAGTCTTTTATACTCTCTTACTATTACTACTTATTTCTTTATTAAACCTCCGAAATCCCTTCTTTTAACGATCTAAATAATATATAAAACACTATCAAATAGTCTTTAAGTCTTATCATTTATAATTATCTTATATTAATTTCGATAGAGTAAAAAGTAGAATAAAAGATTATCGAGATCGTTTATCTTCTCTACCTTTTTTAAGTAATCCTATTATTACCTATTTAAGAAACGTCTAATACTTCTAATAAAATATTCCTATAGATTCACAGAGTTTGAAAGCATTCGAAAGACTTCCATCCAATTTCCAGTGAAATTAAGGCATTTATATTCGATTATAAATTCTATAGAAAGAATATATAATTATTAATATATTAAATCGATTAATCTCTCCCATATATCTATTATAGTAGAAAAAGATCTTCGAAATATCGAAATCCTTTTGTCAGACGTTATTCTCATCCTCTTTGAAAGTAGGTAAGACAATGCGATTATTAGTACTTGTCCTATTGAGACGCTTTCTCTTTTTAATAATAGTGTTATTAATCTCTCTAATATCGTAGGTAGTGATAAAGGCTAAAATAAGATTATTATTCTGTTAGGCTACTATAAGAATATCGTTCTAAATTATTATAGTAAGAGTATCGTATGAAATATTCTTAGTAAATCGCTATTTTATCTCTATAAGTAATTCTGGAAGATTCGTTTAATTTAGCTTTATAGTCTTATATATAGTAATCCTTGAGGCCTTCAGCTTGCTAGCAAGCTTTAATTCGATAAAATAGTTATTTATAAAGAGGATAAAGTTAGGGGGTAATGTATTAATAGCTAATTTAAAGACTATGGCGCTTGTATCTCCGAGACCTTTAACTTTAGATCTACTCTTAAGATTTTATTTAGGCGAATATTATATATAGTTATAGAGATAGCTCTTATCACTAATTGTAAAAACCTTATATCCCTTCTTAATTGGCTTGTCTGGAGCCATAGTAGAATAATAAGTACGCCTTATCTTCTTAATTATATATTTATTAATTATATAGTAATTACTTAAAGTGCGTAATTTCTTTTAATTACTTCGTATCTTATTAGTAAATAAAAGTATTTTCTTATATTATATAAGCTTCTAATATCTACCCTTTTTAATAGTAAAAGAATCCTCTTTATTAAAATCTAAATAATAAATTATTCTTCGAAGAAGTATATAGCGGTTTCGTATTATTTCGCTAGTAAGAATCGAAGACATTAAAGTAATATTATTAATCCTTTAATAATTATAAATAGTAGAAAAGCGATAGTAGATTGTAATAGCGACGAAGATTTTCAGCTTCGGAATACGGGTAGGTTCTTAGTGAGGATCTGGAGGACTCTGCCGAGAAGTATATAAATTTGTACTCTTATAAAGTATATTCTAGATAGTAGTAGTTTATATAAGATTAAATATTAGATATAAGAGAATTATAAAGTTATTCGAAAAGTAATTAACGGGTATATGATACTCGATTTATAGTGGTTAATACTTAGATAGTATAGATATACGTCGAAGAAGAATATTACGTTACTTAAGTTTTTCCTTTCTTATCTCGATTATAGCCTCTTTTTTTTAACGTTTCTAGACCTTATATAGTTTATTCTTATTAGGCTAAGATAGGATAGCAATTTTAGTCATATTAAACTATATTTAATAGAATAGTAAGAAAGAATGTAAAAAAGTCGCGTTCTTGAAAGACGCGATTTTTGAAGCTAAAATATTATCTCGGCTCGGCGGTTATCGGATAACCCGTAGGTATTTCATCTTATTCAAATAAAACAATCTCCGCTTTTAGAGATTAGAGGCGATATTCTTATATAAGCGTATCTCGACGACGAATAGCGTACTCTATCCTATCGTTTAGAGTATAAATAGATTTATTAATCTATTTATTAATATCTTACTTATTATTAAAAATACTCTCTTAACTATTAATAGTAACATCGTTATCTTTATTACTACTTAATTTCTCTATTAAATTATTATCTATAGCTAGCGAAAAAACCTCTTCGTTAAAATCTATAATATACTCTAATATATCTAATTATACTATAATAATATTTTAATTCAATATTATATTAATCGACGACGACTCGTTTTATAGACGTTAAGACTATACTCTAATAGTAATTATTATACTAATTTCGAATCGCTATCCCTTAAAAGAGTTAAAGAATTAGAATTATTAGATTCGAAGAGTTTTAGAGTTATATAATAATATAAAATTAAAAAGATAGATATATTTATATATCGATCTAGTAGTAAAACTAATTCTTAAGAAAATAAAGAAAATTTAAAGGAGATCGCTTATTTAAACTTATTCGCTAAGACTTCGTTAAGACTTCGTTAAAACTTCGTCAAGCGTACGTCAGGCGTATGTGAGCTAAGCAATTCAGGGTCCTCTCACTTAGAACCCTTAAGCCCCTTTTCTAACACCTTATCGGGGGTAAAAAAATTAAAATTCAGTCTAGCGATTTTTACGCGTACGCGATAATCCTTTTATATGTATATGCGTTGCTGATGCTTAGTATATGCATATCTTTAGCGAAGAAAGCATGATATTAAAGCATCTGTTACTATTTTATTACTTATTAATAATATTAGTTATTTAGAAATTAAGAGTCTCTGGCATATACTTAGCATATGCGTTATCCCGTCTAAAGTGTCGACATTATTTGAGACCCGGCCCGAGTTCATCCGGGGTGAAACGGATACGTTCAGCATATGCTATAAGTTCATCCGGGGTGAAGTGAGCATATACCGAAGCTTCACCCCTGCCGAACTTTTTTCACCCCTGCCGAGCTGTAACCCGCCCCGGCGCCGGCCCGCTATCACTCGCCATGATCGCTTCTTTGCGCAGGAAGAGGATTCTGTCTCCTTGAGCTCGTGACACAGCCCTTAAGGAACAATCCATCCATGGCAGCAACGAGTCTATAGCACCGTTTCACCAATGCCGCCTTCAGTCCTACTTTTAGATTTAGGTACGCTGCGCCGGTACCGTTTGCCAAAAGTCATCTTTACATCATCATGGATACACGCAATCTAACAAACATTACTCCCCTCCAAACTTCTCGCACAGTTTGGACTTGGCGGTTCAGAAGTTGGTGGCCACGTCGTCCCATTGCTAAAGTATTCTCTGTCTTGCTGTCAAAGAGGATATCGCGGTGCCACGGCGCTTTCGGCAAAGGCTTGGTGTGGAGGCAAGGAAGGCTGTTGTAGCCGGGAGACTAGAAGAAGCTTGGCCTTTTTAGCGGATGATCTCTCGGCTACGAGTACGTAGATTGAATACGGATTAAATTGGGGGTACCCGGAGCCGTTATTGGCTGTCCGGCCAGATCTTGCTTTTGTGCTATTCTGATCGCCCAAGCGCTGAAATTGTTCTCGTCATGTTTATGAAAGGGAATCCAGCAGTGCTTATCACCGAAGCACCTTAGGGCCCCTTCTACAACCACATATTTTGGAAATAACCCCTACTTATTTCTACTAAATAACGCCACCACTTAGCTAATAAAAACAAGGCTTGAAAATAACGCTATAAATATTTCCAAAACAAGTAGAATATATATACGATTTCGTTCTATAACCCTGTTTCTAAGGCTAAGTTAGAATCGTCGCAAAAATTGTCTTCTCCATAAAAAACCATTAAATTCCTACCATTCCACATCACCATAACTAAGATACCTACTGCTACTACTACACAGGCTTTAGCTATCATTAATACTCCTATTACTCCCTCATCCATACTTAATATTCTTAAGAAAAAGAGAATAATAGATATATATCGGTCATAGATATCCACTATTCTTAGCGTTCTTAGCCTTATTTTAGCTGAAAACAACCCTCGAGAGTTGTTTCCAGATATTTTCAAGCCTGTTTTCGCTTAATAAGCGAAAATATATCGAGGGTTATTTTCAGATATTTCAAGCCTGTTTTCGCTTAATAAGCGAAAATATGTGGAAATATGGTTACAGAACGATACCTTATATATATTTGACGCTAAGCTGAAAATTAGTGGAAATATCTAGGGGTTATTTCCAAAATATGTGGTTGCAGAAGGGGCCCTTAGAACACTGTTCTTCGAGTTCTCTACACACTAAAGCTAGCTATTGCAAACAACTCGTGCACTGGTAATCAGCTTGGCCAAACGAGCTAGTACCGCCCTGGTTATATTCATAGGTACATTGACCACCAGCACAATTGTTCTCACAAGTGGGTTTATCGGAATAGAGTCCTTCTTTACAACCGAGACCGTGCCCTGCTTGAGCGACCGCGGTAGCGGAGACCACAGCCGGGCCTCCGCCGTCGTACCATGTACACGTTGCCCACGGCGTCTCAATGACTGTGGCCCCACAGTGTTGGGACGGCTCCGATGACGGAAGCATTTTGCACGTCGAGACAACGGTGCCGCTCGAGTTCTTGAGTAATAAGCCCCCAGCCAGGTCCCATTTGTTAGCACTGAAAGTGTAAGCTTTACTGTTATAGGTAATATCCATGTTTCCAGGCAAGGTGATGTAGGTTTTGATCAACTTCTGTGTGGTAGGCTTCGACCAGCCAACCGGCTTGCCGTTGCATGGATCCCCAATCGTCGATTTGCTGGGATCGAAAGAAGTGGCCTGATAAGTATAGGTAGACTGTAGTCCGGAAGACTGGACTTCGTAAGCAATAAGGATGCCTTGGTTCGGAGGTTGAGAGATGGTGGGGCCGGGAGCTGCGCTCTGCGTCTTGCTGGGGTTCTCCATTTGCGCAAATATAGACCAAAGCCCAGCGAACTCTTGTTCCCAAATTGCAGGATCATCAAGGCGATCCACTGCTGAATCCGGCGTCCATCCCGACTGGGGACACCCTGCCAACGGTCCTTTCTGGGATAAATTAGGTGGTTAGTTTACCTGTGATTGGTCTGTTTCTCTCCACTCACCGGATCACAATATCCTGGCGCTATGGTGGCTTCCGATCCAGCTGTTGGATTACACCTTTTATCATTGCCATTGATAGCCTATGCCCGCATCAGTCCGTCGCTGCTAGAGGTGCAAAGGGTGTACACACCATGGTCATAACCTCATATGTAGGGGAGGTGAAAGTGAACTCCAAAGTAGGACAGCTTTTTTCGGAAGCAATCGATGATGCTGTCGATGCAGTGGTAACCGGGTCAGGGGCGCAGGGGAGATCAGGCAGTTTTCCAGTTTCAGAAGTCAGCGCAGCACCAGGATTTTCTTGCACTCTAAGTTCTAGAACGAGCAAGGTGAAGATGGTGTTGTTCATCTGTTGTTGTTGGCGCAAATAACCCCCAGAACCGTATTCAAAATACTTTTGGTAGTTCTGCTGCTTGAAGTAATCTTCCAATTCCAGGAATGGCTCTTCGAGACTAGGTGGAACAACGAACGGCGAACTGTCAACATAAAGCCAGCTGGACTCCCATCGTTCCACCTGAAATGCGCTTTTCATGGCTAACTTAGCGTTGGTCAGAATACATCCCGTGCTGCTACAGTCCGCCAGGCTTCTCTTCTTGTGTCGCTGCCCCTGGAGATTTGCACATCTCTGATCGAGGAAAACGGGAGCCAGGGTAGTAGCACCATATTGCGTTAGCCCGATGGTGTATGTGCCGTCTCCCTCAGGACGGAAGATGATTGGAGGTCTATTTCGGATGACTTTTAGTATGTGCGACACTTGTATAGCTCCAGGTAGGTTACTAACGTGACAACCAGATCGATCTCAGGTCTGATGTTCAAACTACTGCTGCGAGTGGTTTTGGAAATGATACTCGATGTACTGATGAAGTCAAAGGGGGCACTCGTCGCCTGAGAAGTAGGTATCGGAGTCAGAGAAGAGGGAGTCGTCGCCGGAACGGAAGATTCTGCCGCTGCAGTCACTGCGTAGGAGGACGAATTCGTGGCCCTGAATGCTTGGCTTTCAGTAGAGGCAGTCGCCGTTGAAGTTGTCACCCTTCTCGACGAAACATTGCTGGAGTAAGTGTCCGAGTTCACCTTAGCTGCAAGAAAGCCAAATACTATGATCAAAAGCAAAGGATACGCCATTGAGCCGGAGCCGGAGTACTCGACAGACTATGGCTACAATGAAGGAAAGCACAGCTTGATTATAGAGGGCAAAGAAACGAGGAAGATGTCCTTTGACGTCCTTTACAATGGAAGTAAGCTTAGAACAATGGTCGCTTACTAAAGAGTTAGCATCCCGGAGTTGTATTATACAACCTACGAGGCAGAAGCTCGTATCAATAACGGGCAAGGAGTGTTGGTATGGCCTCATAGCATTATCGAAAAGGTGGAGTATTTGCATGTTATACGATCTGTATGGTGAAGGTGCTAAGGGGTGGACTCAATACAGCCCCAGCACAAGCAGGATACATGATAAATAAGCTTTGTTTCCCTCAAACTTAAGACAGACGTTTGCACCCGGGTGACAGAAAAGCCTAGACATTAACCTGAATTAAGCTAGGAGATCAAGGGCCGTCCTATATACAATTTCACACTCAAATTTCCTCCTCTTAGTTCATAAATGAGTATGTAATTTAAGGGCCCCTGAAAGGATCCAGGCTGTTCTAGACGGTGATGGACGAATGATAGGCTATTAATGGAGAAACATCGTATTTGCGTATAGAACTTTGGTGGGGGAAGGCCGTAATTCCCATTTGGTTAGTGTCCAGGCTTTTCTGTCACCCGGGTGGTTAGTACTGGTTAATATCGTTATTCGGATGCTATAGCTGTTTTCGTGTACTAGAAATTAGCAACATTACACGAACAGCCCTATGGCATTTCTGCTCGGTAGCCACTCGCGTGTTGGTTATCAACGCCTCGCTCCTTAACTCTATTACTTCATCCTACTAGTGTTACTTCGTAAGGTGTTACATAGGGCTCTGCCTGCCTATGTTATACTGTTGGTCTGAGAACCTAATCTATGAGAACCTCGAGGATGTAGTCATGCGTTCTGGAGCGAATCATCAGTCATCCCTCGAGGCTGTTAAATGCGGTACGAGCTTACCAACATTCGCAGACTAGGCGGACCTGCGCTCCAAAAGCCTCAAGCTCTGGCCATGCAGGATGCGTTTGAGATCATCCCACATTAGCCGTGACGCAGTAGCGAAAACAATCCGAAGACTACTTCTACTATAAGATGAGATCTCCACCCACATATTCCTTTATAGATGATTCACTACTGACATCCTTTTCTCAGTGCACGGCATGAAGCTCCATTCCTTTTTGACATGCATTGTAAGCCTTGCACTCTGCGACCCTGTCGCTGGCGCAAGTAGTTGGGCTTTTGACCCAGACTCATGTTCGCCAAGGTATCTTGCGGTCCTCGAGCCTGCTCTTGAGCGTGCAACGACAATAGCGAAGAAGACAGCGACCTGGTTGCCAAAAGATTCCATTTTCAAGCCCAACTCCGCTCGCAGCAAGCCCAAGTTCGCTCAAGCTTTACTCGGATCAAATTCCAATTACGCCCGATCCGTATTCGGTGGTGGAAAGATCGGCTGGCTCGGCGGCACTATGAACATTGCGGGGATCGCAGATTTTACAGGGCGGATGCCGTGGACACCTCCTAGGGACTGGACGAATACTCCATCGAAGAACCTAGTAAATACTCCCGTCGGACTTGCGGAAAGATCGCAGCACGATCATCGCTCGCATAACTACTCTCATCATCTACTTCCACTGACATATATCAAAGGCTATATATTGCAACGCCGAAAACGTCGGACAAGGTCCTAGTTCCATGCTCAATAAAAGTAATATCCGCCAGTCTTACGCTGGAAGCAGACTGACCGCAGCTTAGTATCACGAACTCCGTTCGGAGAAAAAAAACCACCATGCGGCGAAACCTCCACAACCGGTTCAGCATTGTTAATATCCCACTACGAGGAAACAAAAGGTGTGAATTACTGGTTCATCTGCCCTTGGTGGCTGGAGCGGATGGCGAGTGCTCCCCAGATGTGGGACACCAGAACAACAATCTACAACTTGAGGAAACAAATTATTTCTAATGGATGGACCCTCGGTCAATGGCAAGACTGGCGGAACCAGCAACTCCTACCACAGCCTAGCCCGTATAATGGTCGATCCGACAGCTTAATGTCCGCGTGGGCGGTGGACATCCTGCTTTTAAACGCGGTAAGTCAATGTCAGTCGAAATGCGGACTTTACAAAGTCACGTGCTTTATAAAGCAATCTGTTGATAAGAAGGCCTTGCTCAGCTCATGCACACCCGGAACGGCGGCCTGCGAAGAAACAATGCTGCAGGCGAATACAGCGTTTATCCCAGCTTGACCCATGGTCAGTCCCGAAACGTCCCTGAGCGTTGCTCCTCCGACTCGCTGACACGTTGTAGATTGGTCCGACTTGGTCAACATCCGAGATCCCAATGCTGCGGCAACATTAGCTTGTAAGCCTCCAGATCAAGTGTGCACATTACATTACAATCTCATTTACTGACGGTCACACCCCTTAGTGCCCTATACGTTCATCGCTATAGGTATGCATTTATATTTTAACAGCACAGTAGCATTCCAGTCACGCTAACAGGTTAATTCTTCACGTCGATCTAGCCGTCTTCGGCTGTCAGACCGGTTTTGATACTAATCTTCGCAGTGGACAGTATGCGGAGCTGCTCACCTTTTGACCTGCGAAATGACTTCGGCTCTCCCGACGGTCTATACCATGAGCCGCCACCCCCACCTCCTTATCAAGGGCCAGACCCACATCCAGACCCACTTCCACCTCCTTATCAATCGTCAGGTGTATGAAATTCACCACCTTACTCGATGCCAATTGTGGGAAATGAAATCATCTACGGGGGCACATAGCACTATTTAGCACGTCTTCAGTCCCTTTGCACTGGGTAAACAGCGCTGAGATAAGCCTCCTATGAGCATGGATCAGCAAAACTGCTATAGTTGTTCGATTTGATCTTAATGGAAGGCTCTCTAGCGTTCCAGAGCGAATAAGCTCCGATGGTATCGAGAAGGCGGGGTTCGTCGCAGAGGGAGGATATGATTAAGAAGAGGGCAATCTTCGCGCGAAATATCAACTGGAGAAACCCCAAGACCGATGATACATCTTAGACTGTATTTGAAGTCCGTTCGTCATGCTCTTTGTCGGATATTGAGGCCTCCTGCATCGCTGTACTGTTATCTGCCTCCCGCTTTGCCTTGAGGCCGTTTCTCACTCCGACAATACTGGGATCACGTGTTAATGTAACGGGGTGTGGGCATGCGTGGCTGAGCAACGGTATGTGATTGTTACTAGGTAGACTAAATCCTGAGGAACTCAGTAGGAGTCCTCAGCAAGAGTCGTTAGATGTCACGATCATGATGCACTCCAACAGTGAGAGACGTAGCGAAATCACAGATCTGTATGGATTCAGATCTGTCGACGGCGCCTGACCAATAGGCTTGACAAGGTATTGGAAGGTCTCCATTAAGGGATCCCTTGGGCGGTTTCCAAGGCCAACTTAAAATCTCGCACTAGGCCTTTAGTTAACATTTAGCATCGAATTTTCCTTAGTGGGCGACTCCCACTTCCGAGCCCACATCCGATCAGCCATAGCGCAAAGGTTTGAACTTCGTTAGTACTACGCCGTTCGCGGGAGCTATTGGCCGTAAAAGTGAAAACCGGCACCGATTAAAGGATACTTGAAGAAGCGTCCGACTTGAAGCAGGCCTCTGGCAGCCAATTGTCTGACGCCCGCCGTTTTTCTACTACTATTGGGCAGAGGATCCCCCTTTCGATCCGGAATCATTTTTGGCGGACTGGCCAACACATAATGAACGAAGAACAAGAAATGAGCGGCGATCCCAAGATGCATGGCTGCGTTCGATGCACCGTGGTGTAGACGTCAACTCAGTTGCAGCTATGAATTCATATGATTACGCTTTCAGCCAACGCTCGGGGACTGAGAAGAGGTAATAATACTGGACTGGGAAGGCAGAATGTACCCGAAGAAGGGCGCAAGCGTCGTTGACACGTGCTGTTGGTGGGTGCTATACGAGCCGTTGTATGGACCATTGGCGTCGCACGAAGAATGATGTTTGCCAACCCCAACATATTGAACGAACCAACATGAGAGAACAACAACTCCATGGTTAACATCCGTATGGTGTTGAAGAAACCAACACAAGGAAGTAGTAATCTGATTATTGGTATCATGACAATGGATTAGCCTTCCTTATTATTCACGTGCTTCAGGACATAGTTCAGGCCCAAAAGGTATGCCCTGCGTGTGATTGCGAAGTTCGTACATAAGGATTCAGCTTGTATCCCCAGAGTCATTTAGCGCGAAACCTTGAAAGCGTCGGAAACTAACGTGTGGTACTACTGTTGTGGTCGCGAGGAGAAAAGCTCTCACTCATACAAGCAACCTCAAGTCATAGGTGCCAAAACCACACAAAGAATTGCTCGTTAGCATATTGAACTACCGTCTCATCTTCGAGTTTGTACCACTCAGATCTTCTCCCCCTAATGTTTCAGCATTTTTTCATGACTTCAACGCAGCTAACGAATGTTCATCCCTGACCACCGGAGCCTAATTGTAAGATTCTGATGCCAACCCGCCATGCCTGAAGGCCTAAGGCCACGGAGTACTTGTTGGGAAACCCTGGCAGCTCAACTGGGATCATCATCAACTTCGAGTTCACGCCCTTGTCCCGTTGATCCACGTCTGACAAGGGGGCGCACACTCATTGATTTGAACCAAGATGCCGTTGCTCCAGTTCATACTACCGCACTTCCCGCAACGACCCGCCCACAGCTGGGCGAACATATCCTTTACCACTGCACCAGTTTCGCCTTCAGCTGGACGAGCGGTCGCATTGTTGCATTTGTGCATCACCGTGCACCCTTTGAGATACCCGCAGCAGCGATTCCACTGAGAGTTGTACCCATTGTAGACGGACGCGTCGTCAAATTTGGCGATGGCTGAGACGCATTCATCTTTGACAAGTGGCCCACAGTACGATGAGCCTTTGCAGTCGTAGCGTGTGATTGTTGCGAGTGTTGGTATACCTTTCCAGCTGGCTAATATCTGGTGCAGAAAGGAGGTATCTAGGTCATAGGGGAATTGCGGTGGGTTATCGCAAGGACAACCCTTCCATTGCCAACCATTGCTCGGATCTCCGGAGCATAGAGAGGAACCAGCATTACCACCACAGCTGTCTTGAAGTAAGCAAGGGCCTAGTACGACCCTGCGGCTGTACTCACTTGCTACAAACTGGCTGCGCTGTCTCATCTGGACAGCTATCGCTTGTCTGAGATGCTTGTTCCGGCGTCGTACCCGGACCTACCAGAGCTTCGAGAGGCATAATGAATATGTTGGCGGCCGCGTTCATGCAAAAGCGATAGTTGAAGGCAATGAAGAATAGTATCGCTGCCACTGCACCAATCCCTGCACTATCCAGTGCCACGCTCATGATCTGCTGCCTCAAGTCTATTATTGATTGGATTGCCGTTCTCACGGCAAGCGCAAACGGGGGTAATTGCGTTTCTAGGACTGTTCGTAACATCCGTAGCTCGCCGCCTGGCTCTACAGCTGGCCACAGTGCGTTGGCATCCGGCACTACTCCTGCCCAATCGAACCCAGCACCCCGTTTCTGTACATCCATAGTGGCCGTTGGCTCACAAGTGCTACCTGTTGCGCTGACACCGGGTAGCCGTGAAAGTGGCGTTCCTTCGGAAGGAATCGTGAAGAGTACATCACCCGAAGCAACCCCATCGTAGTCTGCAGTGGCGGTTGAAAAAAGGACAGAGCTGTATGGATCAGAACGCGAATTTGTTGTGTCACTCGTGGGTGATCTTTTTGATTACCAACTGACCTTGTAATGGACATGCCTCCTTGCGTGGATAGACTTGCTTGCGTGGTCGAGCTAATCTAGCTTGTGGTCAAGACCGCCGTGACAGGGTTTCGGTCGTTGCTATTGGTATCGAACACCACGGTTGACTTAGACTGAGCGGAGCTCATCGAACTGTAGGCGTCATGCTGAAGCTGAAGAACTTGCGGATGGCTGTTAGGATCATCAAGCGTGGCATACGAATATACAACGGAATTTAAAGCCGCGAGAGCCGCATAAGCGACCAAGAGCAGTACAGCTCTGGCCTGCACAGTCGCGTTCAGGTTACAGGTAAAGTAAAGTATCCCCTGAGTTGACGTGACCGTAATAAAACAATTGGCCGAGCTTTTGCCGAACTAAACATTAAGCGCGCGACTAATCTCCCCATGCATATTCTCCCCCAGACTTGCACCACATTGACGTTTTGTTACCAAGTTCCCGTCGTTCTTTGCTGGCATTTCTGTCTTTCTTGGGTAGTTTTTGTGTTTAATAGAGAATGGGCTGACCAGTAATGGATCTTACCACTTTGAGTCCTGCTCACCAATTCCCCACTCGGCCCCCGCTTGCTGGATCACGTTCGCCATCACGGTCGCCCTCTCGGCGAAAAAACTTCACACAACAGGAGTCGAATCCTTTGCTCTCCGATTTATCGCCTTCATCTACGCTGGAAGCGCTACAGGCTAGTGACCATGTGCGAATAGAAGGCAAGGCCGGCAAGAGCTTCATCCAGGAAAGCGTTGCATCTGCGTCTATATCAGAAAGAGCATGGGGGATCAAGGCTGCGCTGGCTGGCAAGAAGGTACGGGAATGGTATGCAGAGATTGAGGGATGGGTATGGCCTGGTTTTGACCAGCCACCATTGGAGGAACCGGCCAAGAGAAGAGCTCAATATCACCTAGAGGGTCACCTCGATAGCAGTTCGTCCGCAGAGGCAATGAGATCAAACGGAAGCAACATCGAGAAGCAGACTGTACGGACTCTATCTCCGAACCTGGTTCAAGAGTACGAAGAGCGTATTGGGATGATCAGAGATGATATGGAGGAATTGGAGATCGAGGATCTGAAAGACTACGTGCTTAATACCCACTTCAAAGCTGGCTCGAGGCGATCCTCCCTGCAAAGTCTTGCACTTACGACAGATTATGACCACCTCGCCGACTTCACCACAGTCATCACTGCCACCATTGTGCAGGCTCTGCCTACTATCTCACGGTTGGAAACGCTGCTGAACACTTGGTCAACACGATTGCTAGTCCTGCGACAAGTTCCGTCCTTCCTGACAGATTTAGACGCCGGCCGCGAGTCGATGGTTTCTGCGTCGATCGCGATCGGTGCTCACGATGCCCAACACACAAGGCGGAGATCGGACTTCTCGCCGAAAGCTTTCTCAGACATCCGAGCTGTTCTGAAAGATCAAATCGCGGAACTGGGGCAAAGGCTGGACAGAATGCTTGATCTTGTAGAAGGTAGCGCAGACACTTTACCTGATGCCTGGGTCGACAGCTTGGACAACATGGAAAATGAATACAGCGCTTGGGTCGTGAAGGCTGAACAGCTGGCGATGAGCAAGGAATTTGGGGCTGGAAGGCTAGAGAAGGACTATACGCAGGATCACAGAGATGAGCTTTTGGATTCGGATAGGTCGCTGGATATTTGTGCGCATTTCGATGAGACCAGACGGCGAGCTGACAGCGACTTTGATATGACACAGGAAACTCCTGTGGAGACTGTGGAGTCTGAGAAGTCTGAGAACGCGGTCGCTGAATCTTCCACCAAGCCTTCTACTGGACCGTTTGATCTCAAGTCTTTTCCGTCGAGAGGCGCATTGCTTGAACAAGGTCTTGACAAAGCTCGATCGCAAGGACCAGAAGTAAACAGTGTCGACGGTCAATCATTGAATGGACTTTCGGACGGACCAAAGACACCTTCATTGCCTAGTAGATCAAGTCATAGACCTACTCCTCTGATGCTTACCGGCTCAAGAGCAAACGTAACGACGCCCGACTCTCCCGACGCTGCTTCAGATACTTCTGGCTCGGGATCGGCAACTTCGAACTATTCTTCCACTAAGTCAAGCCCGGAGATCCAAAGCGCGGTAGTCGCAGAGTACATGGGCTCCCCTGTCAAAGTCACAAGCCCTATGTCAATGAATAGAGAACCTATGACACCATTAGACATTTCCTTCCGGAGGCAGGGTCACCCGGCAGAGGGTGATGGGGCCAGGAGTCATCAGGATGGCTCACTTTCAGACCTCGTTTCCAAGAATAAACGGCGCAATGGAGGCTCAGGGCATGTCAGAACCAGGAGTGCTTCACTTCAGTCCTTCGAAATCGTCCCAAAACACGAGATCCGCAGGATTCAAGTACAAAGAACTGGGAGTTACTCTTCAGCGTTCTCGCTATCAGATCCAGAGTATATTCAGTTGCAGCCGAGCAGAGTGCCTGCCTCCTCCGCTCCGCAACATGGAGAACCAGAGGCCTTATGTACTACCACACCACTGTCAACCTCTAGAAAGGTAAAGGGTCAGCAATCGTCAGCACCCGCACAGAATCTAGATCCGGGACTTGACATGCCCAAGCAACCACCTCTCTATCGCCCACCGCCACCCGTTTCCGTAAACCCGTCAATGTCAGCACCAAGCTCAGACCGGGAGTTCCGCACGCCTAAGCAACAACTTCCATACCATTTACCGCCTGCTGTGTCCCCAAGACCTGCTGACCCGCCACAGAATCTAGATTGGGAGCTCGACATGGCTGAGCATCGAACTCCATACCACTCACCGCCACCTGTTCCCCCAAGATCTACCCACAGATTCGAACAAGTATCTGACCTAGGTCCGGGCTCTATGCCCGTAAAGATACGGCAGATGAAGATGAGCGATCCAATTGGCGGCCACGCTGCTAAGCATGTTGAGACACCACGAACGGCACTAGGCTCGTCCCCAAGCAAATTTGATGATCAACTCGAAGAACGTATCAGCTCCATCCTGACCGAGCTCCCAACGCAAATCCGCCTAACGTCTGGGCCCGAGCCTGATGCTCCCGAAGTCACTCGCTTCAACTCTCCTTCAGATCCGCGACTGCCCAAAAGCGGCTCGCCTGCTTGGCGGCTGAAAAGGACTCAGACATCGACCCCACTGCCGTCGATGACCCTGGCACCTGCGCAGCCAAAGAGCTCCCAGTCACGATCACTGACTGGTGAGCCAGACATAAAGCTCTACCATCTGCATCAGAACGGCAAGACTGCTCCTATCAAACTTTTCGTTCGACTCGTCGGCGAAGGAGGTGAACGCGTCATGGTGCGCATTGGAGGTGGTTGGGCTGATCTGGGCGAGTATTTACGAGAATACGCTGGTCATCATGGTCGACGATCAGTCTCAGATAACCCGTTCGATATAACGGGGCTTCCAACGTCTTCGCCACTGATCAACAACCAATCGCCCCGTAGCAGACCTGGAAGTAGACCAGCTTCTCCCACATCATCACTGAAGCAAAGTCCAGCCAATAGGCTTACAAGGCAGCATACATCTCCAGCGATATTCAACGGACCCCATACGCCTCAATCGGACCCTTCTTCTCGAACCTCACCGCTGTTCTCATGGGCAGGCACAGAAGAAGTCTCTCCGTCTCTTGGTCTTGCAGGGCCTAAGACAAAGAACGTGGACATCTCGCCTAGCAAGCAGGCATGGGTAGATGAGATGATGGAGCAAGCGAGGAACAGCGGTGCGGAGAAGAAAGGCGGCAGCGAAAGCGTAGTGGGAGAGTTGGGCAAGGTGGGAGCGACGAAGAGGGTGTTTCTCAAAAGAAGAAAAGAGGGCTGAGAGACGGTCAGCCTCAACGTAAGTACGCCTTCCATCAGTGAGGGTTTGATCTCGGAGGCAGCGGTAATAGCATGTCATGGCTCATGACTGGAGTGCCCCCTTTTTTTTCCGTCTGCGTTTAGACGAGGTTATGATAGCGCGTTGATACCCACGGTTGAACTAGACCTACTATTATGATAGACCTACTGTTACGCGGTAGAAGAAATAATGGATGTTTAATTTCCCAGCAGAGGACGTTACGTGCACATTAAGATCTCAGATTTGGAATATACCATACGACAATGGCGAACCCCCGCTTCTACCGGCCACGAAGAACTTTTCCCAATTAGCGCTCCGGGATAATTTCATTACTGTCTAAGTCATACATCATTGAATAGGCCTTGATCACGGACAGATTTTCACCATTTCTGAGTCTCAATATGTCACACTGTCACCTCAGCGACATCTAGCCCCAAGACCGACGACCTATTCATTCCTCGCCACCACAAGCAAGCATCTAGGACTCCCAATAGCGCGCCCGCGACATTAGTATCACGGATGACACACCCATCTACTCTTCTCCTCATCTTCTCCGTCTTCCCGCCCCTCCCATTTAGGCCCGATTAGAGTACCGCAAACAGAACGTTTACAGTAGATATCTTACTCACTCGAATACGCCCCACGGCTTTTCCAGGTCGCGGAACCAGAAATCGCCTCGGCGGATTATGTACTCAAGAGCCCATGAGAGATCGGCGAGGGGTAGTTTGGGTCCAGCGCCCGAGTCGACGCCGCCTTTGAAGGACGGGGCGAGTGCAACGGCGAGTTTGTCACTCGTCATGGTGTTCTGGTATGCCCTATCGGTGACGCGCTTGAAATGCTGTGGTTTTGGATCGATTAGCGATTGCACCCAGTGGAAGCGGCTGCTCAGAGGGAGAGAGGGAGTGGCTGGGAGCAATTGGTGTTGGAGACGTACGAGGATGAGAAATTCGAAGACGTTCCTGTTGACTTGCGGGAGCGACCTGATGGTCGCTTGCAACTCAGTGGTAGCTTGGCCTTCGCCTTTTTCGTATCCAAAGTGGTCAATCCGCTGCCTCGCGACGAATTGCGCCGCGCGTACGAATCTTGCAAGGCTTTCGCGAGGTATCAATAAGCCTGGGAGTTGCCAAATGAAGTTCTTGAGAAGGTGTGTTACGTATTCGATGTTGTTAGAGATGCGGATTTGCTGTTGCAGGGATAGGGATTCGGGATCTGATTTGATGAACGATGTCTAATTAGTTTGAGTTGATGAGACTGACAGATCGGTTTATTCTTACGTTGGTCATATTCCGCCTTCAAGTCATCCGTTAGATTTTCATTCCAGTCAATATGAAAATTACCGTACACCTCTATGAGACCCATGCCATGGAACTCGACAGCCTCAATGCAGTCTGTGATCAACTTCGGTACTGGTCCCTTCTCGCGCTGACACAGTTCTTCGAGCGGCACTCCATAATAAAGAGTAGACGGCTGTTCGACTCCAGAGAAAGCCATGATTCCGACCTCATTACTAAAACGAACACCGACTGTTGGCCCTGGTGTAGACTGGCCTTGGACCAAGTCGGCCTCTTTCAAACCAGGTGGTAGTACCTCGACGAAATTACTATGGATGGTCAGCCGGTGCGCTAGATCTCGAACGAAATCAAAATTGATCATTACATACCCAGGAAAATTCCCCGTTCTGGACCCGATCTTTCCTGTCCACCAATCTCGGGTACTCTCCGTCCTCTTCGTGATTGTAATGGTCTTTCCTTTTCGAAAGGATAGGTCATCGGACCGAGTACCCTTAAAGTTAAACAGCGCAACAGCATGATCCTCCAACAGAAGCCCTGTCGAGTTGTCCAGCTGCAAACCTTGCTTTCGCATTCGGGCAGAGGGGTTGACGGTTGACCAGAGACGGCCCAAGCGGCCTTCAGCCGTTTTACCTTTAGTCTGCGTGGCTGGCTGTCCTGGTGAATCACTCTTGACCGCGCCTTCACTTTGGTCAATGTTTCCTCGTGAGGTTTGTGGCAGCGAAGCTTTGAGAATCCCTTTTCTCAGCTTGATGTTGAGCATACGAGAATCGATGCACGTTATAATATGTGACTCCCTTACATCATCACTACCGTCAGTTATCAGCGCAAACGATGTATGGCAGATTGGACAATAATCTTCTTCTTCGTCCAGCGCCTTATGTTCTGTTGGTTGTGGAGCATCCTGGATGGGAGTGAAATCGCCTGTGGACCTGTTGTGGGACTCGCTCTGCTCGTTATCTAACCCCTTGCGGCTGTCAATAATCCGCACATAGTTTTTAGGTATAAAACCATCCCTGCCAGTCTCAATGTTTTGGCCCAAAAACCAGCCTTCGGCCATTTGGTAAGCGGATTGCGCAAGATTGTCCTTAAGTTGAGAGTTAAGGTACAGAAGCTTTCTGTTAGAATTCGAGAGCTCGGATTCCAGCTTCAACCGTTGGTCACTTGTTTTTCTGGCTTTCCGTTGCATCAAGGCTTCCAACATGTTCTCTACCCCCATTTGGACTTTAGCCTCTTCTTTGATTTTGGAACGAAGGTCGTCTTGGCCTCTTTCAGCACCAAACGTCTGAAGGACCGAAATCACTTGACCTTCGTGTAATGGTAGCTCATTTACGTTTTCGGGCTTGAAATCGAAGAGAGCTACAGCCTTTCCGGTCATCAGCCGCACTACGGTACCATCAATTGGGGGTGTAATTGTGAGTTCAGGGACGTCGGCGACCGGCCTTGATGGGGGAACACGTGCCCCTCCATCATCTTCAAGTAGCAAGCCAAAAGCTGCTTTCGAAGTTGTGACATATTGGGCCAGTAATGATGTGACTTTCTGAATCCGCAACCTCATCTCCACTAGCTGGGCAGCTTGTGCAGGCTCCAATACTTCATGTAGAAGATTGCTCATGCTACCCAAGCCGCCTCTGGGGGTCCAAAGAAATTGTCTAAGCTCGCGAACCCTCTCCATGCACTCTTGTAAGATAGGCTGAAGTACTTGGCATTCTTCGTTATTATAGATATCATTCTCGAGCTGTTTTCGAACTTTCATTAAGGTTTCAGTCAACAGCTTCAGAGTCGTCCGAGTAGATGCGAACGCTTCCCGAGCGACAGTTTCCTGCGCTTTTCCGAGCTGAAAGTCGTTGAATTCGATCTCTATCACTATATTCTCTATGCTCCTGAGGACGAATGTCTTCCGCTGCGAGAGATGAGAAGATAATGCTCTATTACCAGAGTTTTGACGGTGTTGGAAGTTTCTTTGTATCTTGAGTGCAGCCCTAAGCCGTACTTTATCATAATGGCGTTCAATACTCGTTTCGAGAGCCGCTTGTCGTAAGAGCTGCCATACTGGCCCATAGGCATGTTTCATAGCATAGTGAACCGGAGTTCCATAGTCCTCATAATGGACAGTCGTGGACGCCCCTCGGTCAAGAAGTAACTGTACACTTTCATAATCATCATGTTCAATTGCCTGATGCAGTGCACTACCGTATGATTTGGACCCTCGCGCATTAGGATTGGCACCATGATCTAGTAGAAGCTTTAGTACCATCGAAGTTGGCTCGTGTTGCATCTGTGAAAGAGGCGTCGGCATTGCTGCCGCGGCTATGAGGGCATGTCCGTATCTCCCTCCAACGGCATTGACTTCTGCGCCATGGTCCAACAACATCCCAAGTGCTAATAGCCGGCGACCGGACATACTGGGATCTGCTGCCACAGCCTGCAGCGCATTCCCGTAAACGCCACCTTGCATGTTAGCATCGGCACCATTTTCCACCAAAATTCGGAGTATCTCGTCTCTGGAGGGCCAAGACAAGCTTGCAGCAGCAGCTTGTAGCACATTCCCAAATTCTCCGTACTGGAGTGTGAGGTCCGCGCCATTCCGCAGTTCCAGCGTCACCCTTCCAATGTTACCACTCATCACTGCTGCATACAACTCTGGAGGGAACCCATGATCCGTAAGGGCCGATGACAGGGATGATACCTCCGATACCACAAATGAATCAGGCGTATGGTTGCTATTGTGGCTTGCCGCGGCCTGGTTTGAAGACGCTCCAGATAACTCTTTCATGGGTGGTGGTATCGCAAACAAGGCCAGCTGCTCGAGATGATCGCCCAAGTGTCTCTGGAACTGCTCAAGTGAGACGGCAAATATGTTCGACTCTGAAGGCGCTCTTTCTGTCTTGTTCTCTTTTGATACGGCTTGCTCCCGTAAATCTGCATCCCAGTCGCAGAATGGACAGGCCGAGGCGGCGACATGCTCAGGCATTTGTGCACACAACGCAACCAACGACAAAACCTGCTGCCTGGTATACTCCGAATGCTGATCTTGCAAGTGTGATTCAAGTGAGGCTGCAGAGCCGAACAGCTCGCAGGAACAGAACCTGCACCGCCATTGTTTTCGATGCTTGTCCATTTCGTGCTGAAACCACATATGTCGTCTATCGAACATCTGTGCAGAACAGTCTTCGAAAGTGCAGATGTATGGCTTGAGATCACTCAAGAGGTGTTTCCTGTAATCGTTAGTACTCAGGATACTAGCTAGCTGCAGCAGAAGGTCCAGATCAAGAAGTGTGCGCAAGGGCTTAGAACAATGGCAGGAAATTAACAGGGATTCGTCTCCAAAGCCTGCGGCTTTGCGGACGGTCATGGCCCACGTACCTCTACGTGTGCTACAGAACGCATCCCGAAAGGTGCTAAGAATGAGAGACTTAATCCGAAGCACTCGTAACGATATTAAACGGACGCTGATTGATGCGGGTCGTAGGTATAGGGATCATGACCCTGAGCTTGCTAGATTTATAAAGGATGTACCAAACGCTTGTGCGATATGTATGATCCATACTCATGAATGTACTGGTACACGAGTGACAGTTCCCGTGGGAAATTCGAGCACAACTAAAGAGATTGACCGAACTCATGGAATTGCCGAAAGGTAATGGGCTGATATTGAAAGAAAAGGAGAGGCTCACCTCCAGTGCTTGGCGTTTCTGACGGACTGAATCGTAAAACAGTATGGACATTCGAATGGCATGCCGTTCGCCGATTCTTTCGGAGGGTCCGGTATTTGCATCGTGTTATCCGAATTATCTTCTGCGACTGATGTCACATACGAGGTCTCAGAGCGGCCTGCAGTCGATCGCATGTCCAGACTTTCGTCATTAAGATTGGCCACATACGTCGTGGCTTTGGTCGATGCAAATTGGCTATGACTCACAGAATGTGCTTCGTACCCGATTACTGGGGCCCCTGTTGAGGTCTGGGCATCATTGTATGTGAGGTTTTTGCGGGAAATCGCCAGCTCATGATGTTCGGTAAGGTCAGTTGAGGGTCTGACATTGCCGCCAATTTTCTCCCGATGCTTTTCCCGGTATCGAAGGAACTCACGTCTCCTGGTGATTGCCCTCCCCAATTTGTCCATAAGCCACGCTTTCGACCGGACATGTGGGAATTTCTCGTACACATGGCCCACGTCATAAGACGCATCGAATGGGGTTGAAGACGCGGCCTTGGCGTATCTATCGCGAGGAGTGGGGTTTCTAATGGTTATGGACAGCTTATAAAGACTTGTAATGGCTTCTGTTATAGCCAAAAACAAGTGGGAAAGTTCTGAAACAGGTTCCTCTTCGCTAGCACTGGAGCTCGGGTCCTCAGAGCCATCTGAGTCAGATATATCACTAAACTCATCATTGAGAGCTTCTCCGTCAAACAAATCGCCTTGTTTTTGGGCTCTTTGCCCGGACACAATTTCAATGCCTGCGTCAGATGTCAATTTTCTGGACTTTGTACGGGGCTTGTAGCTAGGCATTCACGTACATTCGTGAAGTGACAACTCGAGATCTTGCAAGACTTTCATGACCTGGTCCCCTACCTGAGACGCGTCACGGAGTCGATAGTCGAGAGATCTTGAATCTCTTTGTAACGCTCCAATATTGCCCGCCCAGATCTTGAACCTTCCAAGTTCATCCCCCACTGCGGAGGCTGGCAGCGCGGATTCACCGTCCGAATGTTGCGCTTCCTCTGCTAAATGCTCTAAGTGTCTTAGACACTGAAGGCTGCGAGACGCGATCGCCATCGGACATGATGGAATGAGACCAGATGACCCTCTATCCCATCAGAGTGTCTCTCTTCATTCCTCAAAGACTGCAATTCTGTCAAGCCAAAAACTGTCAACCCTGGAGAAGCCCCATTTCGCCACAGATTGATTAATGCAATACTAGCGTTGCCAGCTGCCTTATGTATGCGGGACCATCATTGAATGTACAGGTAGAGATGAAGATAAAGGAAGTTGCAGGATGGTGGATGGTTTGGCACCCCACGGCGCCTTCCAGCCGCGCGGGGAAAATTGAGATGTTCAGCGGTCAGCCTCGCTCCTTCCTATCATCTTGCCGTCGCCCATCTTGCCGTTTACCATTCTGCAATACACTTAAGGGAGAAGCCACAACATTCAGATGTACTGAATGGCGAGATTGTTGGCTCGCCATGATCACCGGCGTGGAGACAGCAGGCCTCGTGCTGGCCATCTTTCCCCTCCTCGTCTCGGCCCTCGAGCATTATCAGGAAGGCTTCGAAAGATTGAGCGATTGGTGGAAGTTTCGGACCGAATTCATCGGTTTCGTACACGTTATTGGCCGGCAAGCGATCCTCTTCGACGAGAACCTCGAGGAGTTGCTGTCGCCAATCATCACCTCAGACGCCGAAATGGACGCCCTTTTGCGCAATCCCACAGGCCCTTTCTGGCGCCGTGTCGAACTTGAGGAGAGGCTCAGGGATCGCCTGCCCAAGTCGTACGAGTCCTATCGAAACACAATCGATGATATGAAGGAGACGATGGACGCGCTGCAGAAAAAGTTGGGTATACAGAATAGCAAGTTGACGTGGACGGATGATGCCAATCGGATCAAGTGGGAATATGAATTTAGGAGGATCAAATACGTGCTCTCTAAAAAGAAGCGAGAGAAGCTGGTTGGGGACCTCACGGCCAACAATGAAGAGTTGCAGAAGCTCTTCACCTCAAGTGAAAGGCTGGCACCACTCAGAAAGCGGCGAAGGACACCCAACGCATTCAAGCGGATCAGGGAGCAAGCATGTGGTCTATACGGTGTTCTAGCAACAGGTTGGAGGTGCCAATGTACAGATGCTACACCTTCGCATCAAGCCAATCTGCTCTTAGAGAAACGCATCGACACGTTGAATCGACACCACAAGGCTAAGACGACAGATCCTCCAGCAGCACAGCTGAGCGTTCTCTTTTTTCTGAGGACTGAGTCTCAGAGATTGCCGCTGAGCTGGCATGAGACCGAAATAAAGCTGATTGAAGCTGAGAGAGGCCACCTCCTGTCTCTGACGTCGACAAAAACCAACGCTTCGACAACAGCAATGCTGACCGATGTGACGAACACGTTCGAGGCAAGCAGCCCAGACTATTTACACCCCTTCAAGAAGTCTACAAAGAAAGTCGCATTCCCGCAAATTACAGTCCAACCGCCTCAAGGATCGATGGGCCCAAACATCCCAGATCTGATCGAGATAGCCGATCTTTGTGAAGCTGTAAGGAAGGCTCATCATGGAACATGCAAGGGACCGCTAGGATATCTTCGTGATTCGCAAGACCGACGGCATGCCTTTTACCCCTCTATACAGCCCACCAGGTTCTCTGAAAACGCTGAAACCGTGACCCTTGCGAGTCTGCTCTCAAAGACTACGAGCAGCAACGGTAGGGACCTTAGGGGGACGGTTTCCATGACCCTATCTCGACTAGAGAGGTATTCAATCGCGGTCACTCTCGCGTCTTCCCTTCTCCAGCTCTACAGCTCCCCATGGATCGGGGAGACATGGAGTAAAAATGACATATACTTTCTGATCGCAGCGAGCGGCTCACCTAGGCCTATCCTTGTGGACAAGCCATACGTTACTCGCAAATTTACGTCCTATTCGCCTCAAGCATCCGTTACCTCGGTGAGTGAACAAATAGGTCTCAATTCAAGTACTAAGAGCATTCAAGCCCTTGGTATCATGCTCCTCGAGCTATGCTTTGGAGAAGCAATTGAAGATCAGCCAATTCGGTCAAAGTACCTGGGTCCGGATGGGCAACCAAACGACATGACGGATTTCTGCACCGCTCAGCACTGGTTGCAACACGACGCTCTTGGGGAGGGTGGGCCTGAATACTTTGAAGCAATACGTAGATGTCTGTTCTGTGCTTTTGGCCCAAAAAGCACCAACCTTGAGGACGACGAACTGCGCGCTGCTATCTACAGTGAGGTTGTGGAACCCCTCGAAGGCGCTGTTAGGCAATTCAACTCGAAAACCTGATGCGATGTCAGACGGGCTCTTACGACCTCATCCATCACGCTCCGTCTAATATGAAAGCTTAGCACAAACAGACTCCGCCGGCTCCGTCATGTCGGCGTTCTTGATTCCATGGCCCGGGCTAGGGCGAGCTCATTCCCCACCAACGTAAAGGCGACGAAGCTTCTCAAATCAAATCAAAAACTTGATTGTAACACTTGATTGGTTTGCATTTGAGGGCCCTGAAAGTTCAGTGCGAGCCACTCGTTGCAGTTGGCCGATAAGTCTGGTACAGAGACTTCATGCTAGAGAGTTGTGAGCTTGACAAAGTTGGGAGTCGAATCAGGAAGGACTATTTACCCTCGTCAGACATAATCTCTGAGCAAATGTAAACGAAGTAGGGCATGACACCCACGGGTTCACAAAGTGATAGACGCGGACGCTCAGAACCGCCACATATCTGGAAAGTGCACTGGCAGAGGCGTAAACGGTCTCACTTAAGGTAGGCGTTTCTGTCTTAGCGTTCTACGCCCCACATGCACGTTTAGCTTCCGATGTGCATCAAGAGAGTACCGACGAGGCTGCGAAAGTCTCGGGTTGCGAGATTGCAAGGCTACCAGGGGCCTTATGACTGCTCCAGCCGAGTGTGTACTATCACCGTTCCTGTTCGATGCTTCAAGGTTTGACAGCCATGTCCGATATCTCATAGCTCTGACTACCTCAGCTCCAGCAGCGCAAATGACTTCCATTTTCCACGAGTCGCCGTTGGCAATAAAATCTTTCTCACTGCGCGATTCTCCGCAGAGATTCTTGGTGAATGAAACCAAGGCTAAGGGACTCAGGATGGCAGACCTAATGAACCGGAACCATTGTTGCTGTCTCATCTGTTGTAGCCATCAGTTGGAAGGACACTCAGCGTGAGTTATGGATATCTTGAAAAACATACAAGAGCACCTACGAGTACTGAAGCGCGAACAATCCTTAGCGAAATGACCAGTCTTGAAACCTCTGCTAGACCGGTTGCGGCTTCTTAGCCTGGATGAGGACAACAACCTTCTACCAAGATCCACCTTGCAGTCGCTTGAAAGATCAAAGTGCTTCACTACTTCGAGAGATCTACTGGAGGCGGTACAGAAGTCAAACAAGAAGACTTCGCGCTCTTTTTTGGCCTGGAGCACGCTTTTGAGATACTCCATCCTAAATTTGAAGATTTCAATCGTCAATTTGAATGTGGCTGGACTCCTTTGACCGCAGCTGCTGTGGCCGGCGAAAACGGCATAGTCGGGACACTCTTGCTAGTAGGAGCCAATGCGGAAGATCCCGCCTGACATCATGAACTCTGTAAAGGAATGAATGTATTGCACATTGCGGCCAAAAAAGCTGACGAGTACTTGATCACACTCCTTCTTGCTTCAGGGGCATCATCGCACGCCAGGAGCTCCTCGGAGCCAACACCGCTATATCGTGCGGCGCGAAGTGACTTAGTGGCTGTCCTTGAAATGCTCTACGACGCCGGTGCTAACATTGACGCCTTGACATGTGATAAGTATAACCCTCTGAGTGAGGCGGTCATTGGCGGCCACCCGGAGGTTCTGCGATCGCCGCTTGAACAAGGTGCGCATCCCAGTATTGCAAACGACGACGCTGCTGCAGTGTCATCGTCATCTGATAATACGTCGGCAGATTGGAAGGCAGGAGCCAAAGGGACGATTGAGACGAAAGAAGCGCGAAACCCCCCGGAGATGATCGACACGATGACGCAAACGCAGCTGGAATACCAAGTCACAGACCTGCCGACGCCGGCGAAATATTCCTCCCCCTTTGTGGCCGTTCGGCAGGACAAGTTCGCCGAGCTGTGGCTCGCGTCCATCAAGATGGAAAAACCCCTGCACTGCTGAACGGTTAAAGCCTCATACAGGTCGGTCAATCCGTCGACCCAAATCGGATCTCGACCTCAACGCCGCCGCAAACCTACCAAAGACGCCGCTAGCGTCGCCCCGTGGGCGAGATCCAACGCTGCGGAAAACTTACTTCTAATTCTCCGAATCCAGGCCAGCGGATGGGCAAAGATGCAACGGGGATCGCGTTCGCCAACACGGGCGTGAGGGACGCGTGAGGGTGGAGATCCGCTGCGCCGGACGTGTACCTTGCGATTGCGGAATACCAGCGCGAAAAGCTTTGCAGGGTGGAGGCTTCGAGGGGCAGAAGCCCGCTTTCATGCACCGCTGGTCTGATGGACTGGCTGCGGAGCTCAGCCGATGGGGGCCAGTTTGAGGGATATCTGGTCACTAGGTGGACGAGAGGTGCGCCATAGGTGAGAAATAGAACAGCGGGGCGCAGAGATGATGAGCAATTTCGAGTTGCATAGAGGTCGTGGAGGGAACAAGAACAGCAGAAAAAGCGAATAGGATGTAGAAATGCAAGATATCCGCTCAATGACTTTCTTCAGAGGCGGACAATCGACTTTTGATCTAGCTGAGCAAAGCTTGCTAGAGGTAGATGACAGCGAATGGGGGTATCAAGCGCTGTAAGATGCAATGTAATACTAAGGATGGGTAAGAAGATCAGTAACTGTGCAGGAGGGGGGCACATGATCCGGTGGGAGAAGACGTACTGTCAGGACAGATTCCGTATCGTCGCCGGAGAGGTAGACGTAAAGAATTAAAGCGTGCTCGTGGCAGAAACCTGCAATGCAAGAACCGCACATTAGCTATTGAATCCTAGACGGACGAGTCAGGTGCGGTATATGCTCACATGCGATGACCCGTCCTCCCAACCGTCCCACCCCAAGCACCCTCCCCCAATCCCTCCCCTCAACCCTGACCACACTCCACGCCTCGTCCCCTTCTCTTTCCTTCATCCTCGTACTCGCATGTCCCCTCACGCCCTCCTCCCCTCCTTCAACCTGTTCGGGATCCAATTCCGGATTCGTCAGCCCCTCCCATCTACTCTCGATCTTCAGACTCGGCGTCTCCACTCCGATCCTCAACACACCATGAGCGTTCGCCGACAGCGTGAGGCGCGACTGCGAGGACAGGGCGTCGGATGCACGGCCGCGGTTGGTGGCCGAGGTGGAGGTTGAGAGGGCGAGTTTGGTGAAGCGTTCGGAGATTGCTTTGAGCTGGAGCAGGGACGGGAGCATGATGTGAACGTCCGGTTGGGGACATTGGGGCTCGTGTATACTCGCTACGGTGGCGGCGGCGAGGACCATGACGGGTATGTCTTGCGTGATGGTCGTTTCTCGATCGTGTGGGAAGAAGCCGGGGTTTGGGTCGCCGAGGGATTCATTGTTGTTGTAGGCGTCATCGACGGGGAAGGGTGCGTTGTCCGAGTTTAGGGTTGTGGTTGTGATGGATGTAGGGGGCCGCGAGGAGTTCAAGTTGTTGGTAATGATGGTCAGAGAAAGCAGGGGTATGTTGTCTTTCTTCGTTAAACGGATCGAGGCTGAGGACGCCGTGAGGGCGGAACGGAGGGCGCGGTGGAGGGAGGCGAGAGGTATGCGGAGGTTTATGGTGTTGTTTTCGACGGCGGACTGGATGGTGTAGGTTTCGAAAATTGTATCCTAATTGCACCCAGTCAAGGGGGGGGCGCTTTGTAGAGGGCGTTTGATGGGTGTGAGGCTTACTATGGCAAGGACCCTAGACAGAAGTCAGGCCATCTTCCATGTGAGCCAAATGCAAGGCCGTAGGACGTACGCCCACACTTGACTGCCCTGTTCCGGGACAACAGTGAAGCGCAGCTGCTCGTTGTTGAGCTGAAGCCAGACATCTTTGCCGAGTAAGGAGAGGGACGCGGTTAGTCCTGGAGAGACACGCGTTAACGGGGCTTCTGGGTGGCGGACCGGCGGGACTTTCTAGGCTTACTGGTGAAGGTATGAATGTTCCTGATTGAGGCTTTGAATCTCATCTTACTTGAGGTAGCTCAAGAAGTTGGAGTTGGAGGAAGGATTGGACGTTGAATGTGCAGAGAAAATGTTGAATTTAACCCTATGTCGAGCCCTCTTTTGGCCCTAGCTCGCCGATGTGCTCAGGCTTGTTTACATCATATACTGGGGCTGACTAGACTACGTGCATTCAACACTTGGGCTTTGTATCTCGTACGGCTCATGTGTCTCGTGTAGGGTTGGTGGTAATATGCTTTCAGTATCAAGCTCGGTGGTAACCGCATTGGAATTTGCCTTTCAATAGAGATCCACCAGTTTCATTGCAATGCAGGCACTGAGATGATATTCTGAGAGGGCATTCCAAAGCATGAGCGATGGTATGAATATGAAATTGAAGAGCTAGGTCACTTTGCCATGAGCGCTAGCCTGTGGGCAATTGATCAGACATTCGCGCAATCTTAAGTTGAGTCATGAAACATTGAATTAAGTAAATACATTATAAACTGCTGCTGTGCCGAAGTGTAGAGTTACAAAGACTCGTGTGCTGTGGCTCCCTGCCATGAAAAGCCAGAAAGGGAAAACTTGTGGCAAAGTACCCAAGTACACAGCCATTAGAATTTAGAAGAGTTTCGATCATATCAGCGCAGCGGCGTTGATGGTAGAGGTTGGCGGGCCCTTGATGCAGCTAGCAGCGATCGTAGCAAAGAGTCGTAGTCGTCAGTTGGTGAAAAGGGGGCCAAGGCCGACTGCGCCAGATGTGGGGACAGCGGCTAGATATGGTGGCCAAGTTCTTTGTATGACACTCTAGCGCATCACACTTTTTCACCCCGCTCCACCTCCTTCAAGCCACCCATCCTATCCAAGTCCAGAGACTGGAACCTCTCAACGTCCGATTGCTGGTATGCCGGTAAGTGTTCGTCGCTATAGGGCTCCAATCCCAACCCTCCTGTCTCGCTGATGCGGACCACCACCACGCGTCCGGACTTGCTTTTCCCGGATTCATTCTCTTCTTCAGGGAAGGTGATGCGGATCTCGGGCACTGGGCTTACAGGCGAGCCTGGTCGCGAGGAGTCTTCGACCAGAATCTCCTTCTCATTGTAGCTATTGATGGGTTTCGAGTGACGACCATGAGGAGCAGTGATGACGGTAAGGCGGCGGTGATTGGAGGATTTGGAAGAAGGGCTGCTGGCGTGGAATGGAAGATGGGTGAGTTTCTCGATCTGCTTGGCCTTTCGGCGAGCGCGGAGGATGAAGAGGCCGCCGGTAAGGCAGATGCCGAACAGGACCAGGACGACGAGTGCGATCAGAAGTTTCATCATGGTCGGGGTCATGCTGGTGCTGGTGCTGCTGGAGTCGTCTCGGACGACGAGTGTGGGGATGACAGGCATTGCTGAATGAGCGTGTGGATAATGGATCGATTAACGAGTGTAATTGGTGATGGGTATTGTAATGAGAGTGGTGGTGTATGATTGTCGCAATTCCGTTGTTGAGGTCAGTCTTCCGCAAAAAGCCGTTTATTGACGTGGTCATGCAGCACATACCATGGATTCGCGCTAAAAAGGAGGGGCTCGAGGGGCAGGCGGAGAATGGAAAGAGTTCCAATCGAGCGGTAGAAGGTTAAAAAGGAAGGTAAAGCGCAGTAACAGCTAAAGGAATGAAGCTGCTACCTGCACGTCTCGGTGGTTGTTTGAAAAAGATGAAAATTGAAAGAATTAGAAGAAGGAAGGAAGGAGGAGGAGGAAGTCAGGACTCAGGAGGTGGGTGAGCCGGTGCCAAGAGGCCAAGAGCTTGAATTTTAGGTCGACATCAACAAAACCGGCAAGTCTTTAATCTCTTTTTCCGGCGCCTACAGGGAGAAACGAAAAAAGAGTAAACACTAAACACTAAAAAGACGAGCTTCAAGCCTTCAAGGTTCAAAGCGCATGGATCTACCTAGCTTCACCATTATTGAAGTCGTGATTACTGATTACCATAAGGTAGTGAGTGATGAAATACCTAAGAGACCGAATAATGAAGCATCTGACGAAAGACTATGATTCTGCATGTCATTCATCTCCAAGGTAAGATCTTACATGTTCAATCATGCGCGTGCGATCAAGTGCAGTAGGTAGTTGCTGCTGCTGACAGTGGCAAACTGAGAGGCATTCTTTGTGGATTGTCAATAATCATGTCCAGAAATCCAAGGCTCGGGTTCATTCAATGACGCCCACCAGCGCCCACCGGAAACAAAGAGGTCGATCACCTTTATGCGCAAGCTTTATACCAAGGACCAAGAAGCGAGTCATGAGTCACGATCTATGTACGGTATGGCAGTTATTTAACAGCGAGATGTCCGATTAAATTCCCAGCAAATCCGACACATCATATTCTCGCACGACGTCTTCTTCCACCCGGTTCCCCGGCGCAGGATGAAGGCTCCCTCCAGCAAGCCAGAAGCCGGCGGAGGGCATTATCAGCGCTGATGCCCGATTCCTCGGAGACCACACATGATTCTTGTGGGTTGAGGATGGTCTGCATTGATGATGGATCCTCGGGTGTGCTTTCGTCTGAAGAAGGATTACCTACAGTACGGTAGGTATTCCTGAGCGGCAGCGCTGATGGATGATGGATGATGGCAGGACGAAAAGTCCCCTGAATCTGGTAGGGCTAGCTGCAGCAGGGGAAGACGGGATGAATAAGGGAAGGCTAACGGTTGATGGAGAAGCAAGGATAGCCAATCATGTCCTTCCACCATTTGCTGACCTGCATCGCACGTCTCTTCTCTGGGGAAAGAAGCTCGTATTTGATAACGCAGAGATTATCGTCATTCAATAATGCAATGTGAAAGATGCACAGACCAGGATGCTCATGCAGTTGACGGCAGTCGTACTGTGTACAAAAGGGCAGGACTGCTGATGGTGATGCCAATTGACTCACTTTCCTAGCCCGGGGGGTAGCCCTAATTTATCCCTATCTCGACCCTATTTTTGGGTCGACGTGCCCGGGCGAGAGAGGATAGTTCCGCCCCTAGGACGATGCAATTGCAGGCTAAGCGTGGCGCCAGCAGCATGGGCATGGACCCTGGGGCTTATCATTCATTCGGCTTAGTCGTAGTTTAAACACGCCCTGTTAACCTGAGCGGAATTCTGTCACAAACGTTCATTTTCCAATCCACGTCGTCTTTCTTTCTTCCCTTTTTGCGACTGAGATATTTTATGACGCTGAACCTCGAAGCCTGCTCTTGAAGAATATCTTGCCCGTGGTGTCAGCAATCCCTCCCAAACTTGATCCCGTTCTTTTTCCCGATACGAGCTGCCCCCCAAAATCTCCCTAAACATTCCTCACGCGCACAGCCTGCGCACTCCCTTACTTGACCTTTTGGACTCCACTCTCTTTCCGCTGGCCTTTCAACGACAAGATTCCTTCATTCCAGAGTCTCTATGTGGGCAATTGGCGGTGAAAGCTTTGGGACGCCTGGTGCGGGGATCCTTCGAATTGCGTACAATTAATGGTCGGCTGCCTGCTGATTCGAAGACATCCAATTGCACTTCCGACGAAGGGGTCCCCCGACACCTTACTTCTTCTTCTTCTTATCTTCTTTATATTAATCCTTTGGATCCATTCCAGTTCTTCTCCCTTCTTCACCAATCTTGTATATGGAACTATTCACCACCCTTCTTAGACCGAGCATCTCCTGTGTAAGTCTTGTCCTTCCCCCCGCCAGATCGAGACAAGCTTCCCAAACTTCGCAGAAGACTAATACTTCCCTCTGCTGCAGTAATACTTTACCTTCACATATACTGAGCGGTCTTGTATAAAGTGGCTGTCTGTAATGAATGCATGAACACTGCCTCTGCGAAAAGAAAAGGACTGTTCCTTCGCACCTTCCTCGGACTGGTCTCGCATATACCACAATCAGCCTGATCGAAAGCTGAACAATGACCTCAACGGTAGGTCATGCACATTGCGATCAAGTTCTGCGACAGATCTTCAAAGCTGACGCTTTTTGCAGCAGACCCGGAATAATCGGGTTGGGCCATTTGGGTTGGGAACCGGTACATCCAATAACGAGCAGCCACGATCGGCCAACAAAGCATTCGGGTCTGGGTTTGGAAATGGGGCTAGCGCTTGGACTGGCGACATCTGGTCGTCGGGCAATGCTATTGGAAGTGGAATGAAGGGTGGGCTACAAGATAATGGTCGAGCGCCAAGTCAGTCAAATGGTTCTTATGCTGCCTTTGGACTCGTACTGATATGTTCGAGAAGATGAGCTTCTCGCATCTGGCACCTCTGAAGCAGTGACTGGGTCCAAGTCCCTGCTACCCTCTTCCGAATCAGACAGCTTCAACGCCCGCCACGGGTCATGGAAATCTGTGGATGACACTTCGCCTGGCCTCTCGCGTGTGCATACCAATCATTCGAATACCTCTCCCATCAGTCGCCAACACAGCAATCACCTGATTCCTCAGGCGTTTCCAGAACCGAACTCGGTCAATTCCTCGTACTTTTCCATACAACCGCCGTCTACCACGATCTCCAGCAGATCCTCGCAGAAGAGCTTCCTTGACCCGACTTCAGGCAGTTTTGTAGCTTCTGGTGCATTCGATTCAAGCGACATTAGCCGCACATCAAGACACAATAGCGACGAGGAAAACAGATACGTGCAAAGGAAGATAGCTTTTGAGGGAACTGATGCTGGTTTTAGCATGCAGCCTGCTCGACCTTCATTCAACAATAACAACAATACCCATTTGTCTGGGTATAACAGTAGCGCGGCATCCCGCAGCGGCAGTATACCACCATCACGCGGTGACGCTGAGTACGCAATGAACTCAACGCGCGCCCGTGGTGACATAACAAACAATCAGTATTTGCGAAACAACGCATCCAACACGTCAACTGCTCCGCATCGCCCCAACCTTTCAGCTCAAGCTCCACCATATTTGATCCCCACAGGCCCCTCCAAACAGAAGTACGCAGCCCAGTTGAGCCCGACACAGCTCAACCATCTCATGGGGGACTTTGACAAGCTCAATGTGGGGCAGGAAAACCAGCAGCCCGGGTTTGCTGCGCAGAGAGAAGCATTAAATGGGAATTCGCTTCAAGTCATGAGTGGATTTCCCCAAGACTTCGTGCCCAGCAGCAACGATGTCTGGAATAGCAGAGATGATGGCGGGTATCAAGGCCATCAAGATCAATTCTCTACCGCTGGCAGTGGGTCGGGTTCCTTGATGTCTCAATCTAACAACCATCGAGCCGTGGCTTTAGCCACGCGATACTCGCACTCGCCGAGCAACAGCGATGCACGCCATAGTCACCACCACAGCCCCTTCTACTCAAATGGCGGAACGCCCCCTCCATATCAACAGCGCGGCCCTGCACGCGGTGGTTACAACAACAATGTCTCGACTGCCGTGCTGGATCGCAGGCTGCGTGGTTTACAGCAAGAGCAACAGGGCTACATGGTTCCTCCGCCGAACTTTGCGCAATTCCGAAATCAGTACCAACACGTGACTCCGTACGAATTCTACCCTCGGAACGGCTTGCCACTGAATCAACTCCACTCTTACTACCCAGTGCCTCCTGCACCCAATCTTTTGACAGCGCCAAACGTTCCTAGGGGACCTGCAAGAGACCATGACGTTGACCAAAGTCAGTTGATGAGAGAATTCAAAGATACCATGAACAAGCCCAACAAACGCATCAATGAACTAAAGGTGGGTTTGTACCTGAGGATGAAGAAGCGCACCTGCTAATTGGCCATAGGACATCTACCATCATATCGTGGAATTCAGCGGCGATCAGTATGGTGCTCGTTTCATTCAACGAGAGCTTGAGACAGCCAACAGCGATGAAAAAGACCAGGTCTACCGAGAGCTGATGACGAACACGGTGCAGCTGATGACGGATGTTTTCGGTAACTATGTGATACAGAAGTTCTTTGAGCACGGTAATCAGTCACAGAAAAGGGGCTTGGCCAACCAGATGAAAAGTCATGTTGTGGTGCTGTCCTGCCAAATGTACGGTTGCCGTGTAGTGCAGAAGGTCGGTCCCACCAAATGGCTTGATATTCGCTTTTCACTAAACTTCGCAGGCTCTGGAACACATCCTGACCGACCAACAAGCGCAGCTGATCGGGGAACTTCAGCACAACGTCCTCAAATGTGTCAAAGATCAAAATGGAAATCATGTGGTTCAAAAAGCTTTCGAGAGGATACCCGCTGAGCATATCCAATTCATCATCAACTCCTTCACTGGCCACGTTCAAGAATTGGCGACCCACCAGTATGGCTGCCGGGTCATACAGCGCATGCTCGAGTACTGCGAGGAGCACACTCGCACGGCAGTGCTCCAAGAAGTCCACGCCTCAGCTGCGTCACTAATCGTCGACCAGTACGGCAATTACGTAATGCAACACATCATTGAGCATGGCCGAGAGGAAGATCGAGGGAGGACCATTGCTCTCGTGACTTCCCAGCTGGTCAATTTCTCAAAGCACAAGTTTGCCAGCAATGTCGTGGAGGATAGCATACAATCTGGCTCGAAGGAGGAAAGGCAGCGAATCGTTGCTACTATGACTGCGGTCAACGACAAGGGTCAAAGTCCTCTTCAGATATTGATCACGGATCAATATGGCAACTACGTGATCCGTAAGCATCCTTCATGCTTTCTTTGGAGACAATGCTGACAGCCGAGCAGAAAAGCTTTTGAAAGTTCTCAAAGGCTCCGAATGGGATGACTTCGTCGAGCTGACCAAAGCCCAACTAGCTCTCCTCAAGCGATTTTCATATGGCAAACAAATTGCGGCCATCGAAAAGCTCATTTATTGCGCTCCATGTCCTCCACAGATGGCAGATGGCCGTATTCCACCTCCAACTATCGACACCTCTGTCGGCCCCACACCACCCCTTTCGACTGGCGCCGCACAGTCTCCACAGAGTGGCTCACAGCCGAGTACGCATGCCAGCTCCATTGAAGGCCCTCATACATCTCGCAAGTCGAGTGGGAGCAATGTTGTCAGCGTTCTAACACCAACTTCTACATGATCGACAAAACCTCACGAGAGTCTACGAACGATAAAACGCACCGTCCTTTAACGAACCCTGAACACATCTAATCTACAGCTCCTGAAAAAGTTTTGCTACGACATCCACGAAACGCAGGCCAGCAGAGTCGCACGCGCACCGATTCCACTATTTTCATTGTATACATCTCGGATTTTACGAGTACTGTCATGAGCGAGGTGCTGGGGACTTCTGAGATACCACCACATTCACCTAGGGATAACATTGTTTAGTTATAGTCAAAGGTGGGTGGGATGGGTTGTTGGCTATTGGCTTGTGCCTAAGGTTGCCGAATGTTGGCTTCTCATACATAAACATTTCGGATGTTTCATGTGGGCATAGCCTGTCAAAGGTCTGGAATGGCACAATGGAATAGATATTAGATAGCCTGTACAAATATTCAACAAGAGATTTGGCTCAGCTTCTTCTCCAAATTCACGCATCTGAATATTTGATCCATTAAGAAGTTGAAAGTGGACAAAAGACTCCCATCGTTGGCTTGCTAGCGCGAATCCTTCTGCGGCCTTTCCTTGGCGGAGATCTTGGAATTCTGACTTCTTCAACAACCATGTCCAAATAACAAGTCTCATTGCCCTTGGGCAGGGCAGTCGACAGTACAACGATATGGACATTGAACTCGAGGCGGCATTGGACTCACCCTCCTCTGCGTCCTTCAACTCAAAGCTTCAACTCCCCTTGAGCTGTGACCCACCGGGTCCTCAAAACCCCGCGAAGCAGCGAGTATGGGTCGTGAGTCTACCATGGCGGTCCTAATGCACTTACTGCGTATTCCAACGCCTACTAAAAAGCTGATCCTCAGGTCTTCGGCGCCACAGGCCATATGGGTCGCTCCGTCGTCAAAGCCGCCCTCGCCCACAGCGACCTTGTCACAGCAGTTGGACGTAGTTTGACAGACACGCTCTCCAATATGCACTCGCTCCCTCCTGCCTCGCCCAATACCTCCTCGACGAATGCGTCTTTGGACCCATCACCATTCCTACCCCTCCTCTGCGATGTCCGCATCCGCTCAACCGTCGACGCTGTCTTTAAAAAGAGCCTGGAACATTGGGGAAGAATGGACATCATAGCGAATTGCTCCGGCTATGGTGTCATTGGTGCTTGCGAAGACCAGGATGACTATGAGATCAGGAACCAGTTCGAGACGAACTTCTGGGGTACACTCAATATAATCCAGCTCTCCCTCCCTTACTTCCGCGAACGGACCGATGCCGATAGCGAAGGCGGATGTGGAGGGCGGTATCTGATCTTCAGTAGCACGAGTGGTTCCCTTGGGGTTCCGGGATTAGGACCGTTTTGTGCTACCAAGTATGCTGTGGAAGGATTGATAGAGTCTATGCTCTACGAAACTGACGCCTTCAACATCCGCGCCACGCTCGTCGAACCCGGGCACGTCCGCGACGACGAACCGCTCTCACCCCTCGAAAAGACCTCCCCGCTCCCCACCTTCGGTCATTTCTTCATCAAACCCGCCTCCGCCCCTTACGCCTCGTCTACATCCCCTGCCGGGCACGCGAAAAGAATGGTACAATGGCTCGGAGAGCGGCAACCTACGAGTGCAGTCAAGGCAGCGGAACTGGTGTGGCAGTTGGGGCATTGTAGTTTTCCGCCGCTGAGGCTGTTGTTGGGAAGTTTTGCGGTGGAGAGTGTGAGGGATCGTCTGAGGTGTGTTACCGAGGAGATTGAGGATTGGCGGTTTCTGAGCTTCAAGGGGGATGGCGAGGCGGATGGGGTGGTGGTTAGGGAGAGGAGGGGGAGTACAAAGACGGAGGAAGGGGAGGGTGATGGGGAGGAGGAGGATGTTAAGATGGAGGGGGTGGAGGATGGGGAAGGAGATGGTGATGGAGAAGGAGAGGACAGCTGAGGGAAAGAGACGGAGAGTCTGATGGAACGGCGTCGGGCCCAGAATACAAAGATGGCTACGGTATGCACCACTCTCCACGGATCGACAGTGAAAAAGCCGCGTGATACCAGAGCAAAGCAAATATTCGAAGGCTGAATCGTGTATCGACCTTCGCCAAGGTGGACTTCGGCCCAATCCGCGGCTCAAGGCCATGATTCGAGTTGAAATTGGCGAAACAGCAGTTGGGAAAGCTCTTGCCACGGCTTCGCCTCTATCCGCCACCGATCACATCGAAGTCGTTCCCTTTCTTACCGTCATTCACTATAACACCTGCTGCCGCCTCATATGCCTTTCACACGCTGATGCCGTGCCACAGTGTGGTTAGTCACTCCCCAAATCGAGGGTGTCAACACTTGCCACCCTCAACACCTCAGTTTTTGCTGATTCAACATCATGATGAATCCACTTTCTTGCAACATCCTCGACGAGAATTTCATCCAGGCTAGGAAAGAATCAGCCACAATACCTACATCAACCTTCCCCTTCCTATCCCTACCACAAGAGCTTCGAGACCGAGTCTACGATTCACACCTCTCCGCAACATACAACCACTGCCTACCTGATTCCTCCAAGCTCTGGGTTTTCCCCTTCATCAGAAAAACACCGCACTTTCAGGGTCTCCAAGAGCGCCATTTCGGTGGCCTTGCAATTCTTCTGGTGTCCAAATCCGTTCATGAAGAAGCCAAGCTCATCTTGTACAAATGCGGCACGTTCTTCTTCAATGTTCCTCAAGCAATCGCTGCTCTGCGACACAGTCTTCTCAGCACGGCCGATCTTCAGAATATCATCATCGACCTTGACTTCGATATTATATTCTCATCCCTACACAGCCAAGACGCAACAGATCTTGTCAAGCATTTCGCCCAGCAAAATAGCACCCTTACTTGCAGATCTTGTGAAGTCCAGTTTCGGTTTGTCTCCGAGACGGACTTCCTATTGGGCGAGATGGGAGAGGTAAAAGCGCTTAAAGATGCAATTGGTGAGTTGAAGGGTTTCAGGACTGCCTTGGTGAAAGTTGCGCGTTCGAGGTGGAAATTGAGGAAGATGATGGAGCATGTTCTTCCGTTTGATGAGGAGTTGGGGACTTATTGGGAGGGGCCCTTGGGCAAGTAGGAGATAGGGTGGGACGATGATCTGTAGGTCTGTTTGGTATAGTGAGTACGGCGGGGGCTTGGGGATGGCAGTTGGGTGAAGGGGTATAGACTCAGTGAAGCGCGAGTCGGAATCGCTTTCGAATGAGAAATCCCTAGCTTTTGCCCGAAATGAGTACGTCAAGTTCAATCGCTGCTGGCATGTGGTTGAGAATCTCGATCTAGGAGCCGGGGAGGGAAATACCACGGACAGGGACAGCGAGGAATCGCTGCTCCTCGAAAAGGAAATAAACATATTCCACCTTCCAGCGTTGAAATTTCAAGCCTACGCCATCGTCTCAGTCTTCGCCCCAGATTGGACCGCAACTCACCAAACTTGTTGAAGATATCCGATCCGACACAGCTCCAACACGGGTTGGGCTCGGGAAGCTTGGTTCAAGTCGTGTGACGCTTGTTGAGGAGAGATATGAGAACGGGGTTTACGGCGTTAAACGGTTGCTTACATGTCCCATTTGATTCGATTGCATGAACGGTTGAAGTTGAGTAAGCCTTCTTGATAGCCTTATAAGGCAGAAAGGTGGGGCCGCGAACATGGTATCATCTTTTGTTCAACCATCTTCATCTGGACGACATAATGCCTCGAACACGCCTGTCCTCAGGCCCGTCACCTTTAGAGGCACGCTACCCGCAGAGCACGACCCATCAACACCATGGTATCCGGGCCGGTTGCATCCTTTGGCTACCAAAGAAAGACGACATTGAGGAACGCCTTCTCGCAGGTGTAGACATCGAAGACGGCTGCTTCAATCATCCCATCGTAGTTCTCTCCACCAATCGAGCAGAGGGAAAGGCAACCGTACTCATCGTTAGCATTCCAGCCCACAAGTCTTCGCAGCTACCTTTTACAACTCCCAACTGACACCAGAAGCTTACTTCCTTCGATGGCCGCGATCTCGCCGAGAGGTATCCCGAAAACCGACACCAACGCACTCACCACCTCCCCATCTCCCCCAGTGCCCCTCACCCCGACAACGGCATCCTGTTACTCCTCGACGGCAACCTTCAACTCCGCAAAAAGACTTATGTAAAAACAGAGGTCAAAGTAATCCTCAACACAGCATCCCTGGTCCCCTACTGTCGCTCCCGTAAAAAATACAAACTCAACCAAACATCCTCCAACATTCTAGCAGTATACGCCAACGTCACCCTTCCCACCCCCACGCGACACCTTTACGCTCCTCCTCCTACCACCACCACAACATCGCGCCATCCCGTGCGCACAATCCCCCACCCACAACCACAACCCCCATCACCACCTCCTCCCACCCCCATCATCATCCCCCACACCCGCCCCCGTCCCCCATTCCAAATCGAACCGAGCATCCCCCCTCAACGCACCACCCGCACATCCCCACCCCCGCCCCCCTACCCCGCTCCGTCTCCCACACCACCACCGCCGGACCCTCTTGCCCTCGCAGCCTTCCTGCTCCCCCTCCTCCTGCTAGGCTTCTGGGGCGCGGCGGCGTACGGGCGGCGCCGTGTTGTGAAATCGGCTTCCGAGGGCGCGAAGCGGAAATGGGGGGGTTTGGGTGGGGTCTTGGCGAGGAGACTTGTGCGTGTTGTTGGGGATGAGGCGGGGGGGGTGGTGAGGGGGGTTGTGGTGTGGGGGTTGGGGTTGGGGCTGGGAGGAAGGGAGGGGTGGGGGATGGATGTGAGGGCGTGGATGGATGCGGGATGTTTGTGAGGAAGGGGAGGAGGGTGGTACTATCGTCTTCGCGTCTTGAAACTAGATGCGTAGAGGGAGTTCCCCGTCCATCTATATCAGCACAACGATGCCATAGCAGTGCTTAACATCCCTGCCATCACGTTGGGCTGTCAAGATCCCATTCATTGCAAAACACCCTACCGATAAAACAACCCCCCCCCCTTGTCAAAATCCAAGGATAGTGAGTGGGTCATGAGTAACCCTGAAAGGAAAGGTATCAGCCAAACAGAACCATTGCTTCGTCGCCTTCCAACTCCCTGAGCGTTCGACACCGGGTCTTGAACGATGATGCACGAGGCTTCTTTCCTTCTTGGAGGCCGTTCTGTCTGGAGATATCTATGTACCTTTCTCCGACAATCTGTGTTCTAGCCTCTTGACATTTGGTTCATCGTTATGTGAATGTTACTCCCGTTGGAGGAAGGGTGGCCGCTTTACTTACTTACTTACTTACTTACTTACTTACCCCTCCTGACGCTCACCGGTCCGCCGGGTGGACTTTCGCAAGGGAATGGAAGCGAAAAGGGAAAAAAGGCTGGAGGATCTAACCAACCCAATCCGTATTCGCGGCACCATCGGCATCCTCACCCCGAAGCCAGCATCCCGCACGCGGATGATACGCACGTCCCCTCCCACTTTCCCTTGTCAAAATTCCCTCCGGCCCCGGCTCCCAACGCAACATCACCACCGACTACGCGTCCACATCCACCATCTCAGACGTCGACGACCATCCCTCGTCCCCCCCCCCCCGACTCGACCGAACGATCTTTCCACCACCGCCACCCTCAAAGCACAGTTTTGAACCCTGACACCTTGCCCCCGCACATGCTCGTCGAGGAAGGACGTTGGAGCCGGATGTCGGCGTGCAGCGGTGGGGTGGGGAAGGGTGGTGGAGAAGCAGGAGAAGGCGGGACGGTGGCGGGATGGATTGGAGGGCTGGGGCGGATCGCTGAGGTGTTGATGGTTTCGAAGCCGGCGCGACGAAGGTGGCGCGTGCGTGTTTGTTGGGAAGGAAGGGAATGCGGCGGAGGGTGGAGTAGACGCACGGTCAGCTGTTGGGGAAAGGTCGAAGATGGGGATGCTATGGTTAGGGAGGATCTGGTGTGCCTTTTCGTGGAGTATTTTGGAGACATGGAGGATGGAGGGATGGGAGGGTATGGCTTGTTGTGTGGGAGATTTGCGGCGATCGCGGGCGTTGAGGTAGAGCCAGGGTTGAGGTGGCTCGACGAGGTGTGTTGGTGTTGAAGTGTTGCCCTAGATGTGGTTGCGGAGTTTGTGAGGGAGGACGAGAAGGCGAAGTGGAGGGTTTGGTGTGTTCGTCATTATGGAAGTTATGTTGTGACAGAGGTGTGATTGGGAGACCGGTACGCTGGGTGACAAAGATGATGGCGGTGGTGTAAGTGCTCTCACGGGTGATGATCTGCTAGAGGATTGAATATCTCGGTCGCTTGTGTTGAATATATGTGTTGACTCAGAGTAACGGCCTACTTCTGTCTCCTTCCATCAGCGGTTTTCGTTCCCTCAAGATCCACAATCTTCCGTAACCGCCTCCAAACTCCACAATGGCTCCCGCCGGAACGGATCAAATATCAGAGCCCAGATCAGCTCTCTTATTGCTACCGCAAGAATTGCGCGACCAGATCTACAAAGACCTTTTAACAACAACAACATTTTTAGTCGAGAACCCTCGCAACGGAGAAATCCTTCCGTATCTTCCACTGCGTCAGCATACCCGCCTAGCGATTCTGAATGTCTCAAAGTCGACTTACGAAGAGGCGAAGAGAGTGCTCTACAGACACGGTCATTTTCATCTCAACGCTTTCACCGCCGGCTCGCCTCCTCTGCACGAAGAAATCAAAAACATACCAGCCATCACGCTGCTGCAAGACATCACCATTAACCTCGACGTCAGCACAGCTTTTTCGCTCGGTTATGAGAAAGCCAAGTTCGCCGGAAGTGCAACGATGCTAATCAATTATATTGCGAGGCTGGACCCTGCTTTCCCAGGAAAACGTTGCGTGGTGGTAATTGAGCTTGTCTTGGACGCGAGTTTCTTGTTGGGGCTTGTTATGACTGCAGGGCGTTTCAAAGATGCGTTGGGCCGTTTGACGGCGTTCAGAACCGTGGAGGTGAAGATAGGGCATTTGAGGATGAGGCTGGGAGGGGACTTGGATTGTATGGCCCCATTGTACAATGCGTTGGATGAGAGGTTGGCGATGACCTTGGGAGGAGGGGAGAAAGGATGTGACGAGGAGGGACGCTTTTGTCTGGTGTACCATCCGCGAAGGGGTTGAGCATGACGGTGGCTTTGGCGTGAGGATGATTCTTGCAAGCTGAGTCAGGGTCAGGAAGGTTTGCCTTGATTAATTGAATGGCACTGAGTCTCGGCTTGTTCATCTGTCAAGCAAGAAAGATTCGACTTACCAGATCAGAGTCTAGCCCATAATATTATCGAGCTTCGAGGAGGGACCAAACGGCCTACTGCGCCAAATATTTTCCCTCCAAGCTCCGGGATTCTCCCATAATCGTCCGGAGCTGCTGAAATGATTATTTAAGTATCTCTAGGCTCTCTTGATGTGATGGGAACAGAGCCTGAACCATGCTCGAAGGCGGTGCTAGGAAACTCATATTTTCGGATGCTTGCAGATGAGTCGCTGCGTGTACTAAGGTAGTAAGATCTGTTTACTTGCAAGATCGATTTACTCGGCTGATGAGTGAAAGTCTTCGGAGTAAATACTGGAACTGTCGTCTCCGCTGTTATTCTCTAATTTCGGTGGTGGCTGGTCGGCGGACGCGAAGCTGCCGCTACCCGGTGGGGAAAGCAACTTGTCCAGCTCTGATAGCGAGTGGCCAGCTTGGATACAATGCTCCCTGGAGAGCTTGATAGCGTTTCGTAGCTCTATCAGCCGATCCCTTAAACTGATCATAGATGGTTGTGCGGAAGCTGAAGTACCATCGTCTACGTAAGGTATTTCTTTGACCTTTCCAGTTGCCGACATCTGAATGCTTGGTCTTTTATCGAGTAGATGTATGTGATCTTCACAAAGAGTAGTGACTTGCCAGAGTGATACATACTCCACCACCTCAGGAGGGTATATGCTCGCTAAAGACTGCCGTAGTATACGGTGAATGGCACCGTGATCAACCTCATTCTCTGAGCTCTCAGGCTGGCGAGTCTGAGAAGTTTTGGCAAACTCTGCATATAAGAAGCTACTTTTATTCCCCTCTTCCGAGGGATTTTTCATATACTGATTGTTAGTATCGTCGGGTTCATCCAAAAACGAGCGATATTCCGCGGAAGGTATGTGGTAATCAGGTTGAATACCATACTCTACAGACGTTTCCCTTTTCCCTTTTGATTGGCTACTGGAAGAAGAATGTTTTCGACTTCCAGTCGAGGAAGTTCGTCGTGGAGCGTGTGCCGTGGCTGAGTCTCTGGCAATGGAGATCTCACCACTAAGTTCGGGCGATGGCCCAGAATTTAACAAATTTGGACCACGATTTCCTCCTTCTTCGACGGCGGAAGATCGATTTTCAGTACAACTGGAGCCTCGCCTTGTATGATTATTGCCAGTCTCAACCTCTGACAGGCTCGCAACACTGGTGCTGGTGATCATGGCTTCGAGCCTTGTCAGCTCCGTGCGGATACTGTCCATGCTTCTAATGCTGTGTGCAGAGCTATGCATACTAGTCATCGAATAATGCTCGATCCGTCTGAGCGCTTCTACATGAGCACCATGAATAGACAGCGAGGTTGAAAGAGCTTCATCGAATCGGCCGCCAATCTGATGAACCTGGTTAGATGTATCGATGTCTATAGTCCTGAATTTACTGTCAATACTCAAAGACCTATGCGGACCTGAGAGAGCGAGCAACTTGCGCACCTCCCAAAGACAGCAAGACTGAGACATAGAGTCTGCCTGTGCCTCCCAATCTCCTCCCTTATCGTCTGGATAGCAGTATTATTCACAGCCAACCGGAACTTCCTCAACCAAGCCTTCCCTCCGCTATCGGAGCCAGGGCGCAGCAGCCTCGCGGTCGCCAACCAGATCTGCACATCTTTGGCGCAATCCTCAAGCTTGATGTCCAGAGAAGCGAAGTTTTGACCCCTTCGCCGCGCCTGTGCCCGTTCAAGCACATCGCCGATGTTTTCTAGTACTTGAATTAGCGAGTTGATGTCGTTCAAAAGACGACTGATAGTCTTGGACGCTGATGATATATCGGAGAAAAATTCGCTAAACTTGATTAGGCCGTCGATGCTTTGCCCGACCACTGTGATGATGCCTGCGATGCTGGCTGCGGCGGCGACGGCCTCCATGGTGGGATTCTCATTCCATCTGCCGGATCGAAGAGCGCTTCGCGACAGTCCAGATTTTTAAATAAAGAAGAACGATGCATGTTGGACGAGGCTCTATGTATGACGAGGCACGGACGAATTGACGTCGCTTTGCAGGCACAGCCTCACAGCCTCATCCAATAGACGCCGCCAAGAGACTAAAGATGCACACCTGCCATAAAAGGTTAGATCAGGAGAAAAGTGTGGCGCGGGTACAAGTGCATCGACTCTTCATAACACGCGCACCGCAGAGTGAATGAATGATGCCTCACCACAGCTCGGCGAGAGCAGGATAGCCAGGGTTATTGAACCACGGCCATCAGTGGAAGAAGTCAATCTCCATATCTACTATGGGTAGTGGGTACGTTGGACGGTGGTTAGCCGATGGATATACTGACACGGTCACTGTTTGATCAGGAGTCCCTTTTTCAATTCCACCTCACTGTCAGGATGACCTTGATGGCTATGCTAAACCTGCCTCTTTTCAACGAGAACTATGAATGTTCTCAAGAGGAGGTTACATGAACGGATATCTAATCTTCATACTGTCGCCTCGGTCATCCCTGGCCAGGACCCGAAACGGATACAAAGTACTTTTCTCTGCATGTTGCCGTCCCGAAGATGTGCCGCGAGTCTCCTACTTCTTTGTTCGCAAGAAACGTGTGACCTTTTCTTTTTCTCTATCCTGCACACCCGTTCACTCTTGAAAAGCTTTCTGACTTGACTACATCCTTACTCCGTGCATCAACTCAAGGCAATGCGCCCTCGTGAGACGACCCTGCCACAACACTCCGACCAAATCTCGTCACCCACAGACCTCAACGTGATCGGCACCGTCAGGAACGTTTCAGTCTTCATCAGCGGGACGTACTCCACTCTGGCCTCGGATCCATCATCAACATGGCTTACAGCAGCTCTTTCCAACCCTTGGCCTCTACAAACCCACAAGAATTCACGACAGAGACTTCTGTTACAAGCTTGATCAGCGGGCTACAATCTCAATACGACACGAGCTCTTCCACTCTATCCACGTCGTCTACGCATGCTGTGACCTCCGGAAGTAGAGCCGTCCTCAGCAGTGTTGGCGAGCTGCCCAAGTCGTGCGGCTTCCTTACTCTTGCCGGGGAGTTACGTAACATCATTTACGGCTATCTTATCACGTCTGGCCAGATCGAGATACTCCGGGTTTCTCGGCAGTTGCACGACGAGGCGAATGGCCTTCTCTACAAACAAGGGATTTGTCGACTACGTTTCGAGCTTGCCAGCATTAAACACCAACCCAAATCTCTAAGCCAAATAAGGATACCTTCGAACAACAAAATACAGAACTTCAATCTCCTCATCTCCCCTTTAACCACCTGGCGTCCCCTAGCCAATCGTGGCTTCGTACATTCTGTCCAAGGTTCCGGTGACTGCCACATTATTCTAGTCTGGGAAGACTCATGGTCATTCGCTCTCGACAGGTCAATTGCTCACTTCAATTTCATTGAGTTCCTCAGCACTTTCAAGCTTCTCACATTGAGGATCCACTTCTCCCACACCCTTCACCCCATGGATAGACGGAATAGAACTGTGGTGGAGCGTCGTCACACGCAGATCCTTCAATCTGTCGCAGCCTCGCTGCCGTCAGCTCTTGGGTCTCCTGAGTGGAAAACAGAAACCTGTCCCAGTGCTTGCTACCAAACGTCTACGTGCGCCAGGGCACAACCTTCTATGAACCCATTCCCCAACGCTCAGTACCTTGAGTTCCATCCACGCAAGGGACGAGAGATTGCCGGCGGAGTCCACCATTAGTGTGTCAGGCAGGAGTGCGAGAAGGAACGATTCTGCGATCAGATGTTGGATGCTTTGAGTTTACTGCTAAGCTCCGGTTGTCGAAAATCGGTGCGTAGACGGGCGAACGAGAGAGGAGCCATTATCGGTAGGGAAGTGCGAGGAAGCTGTCCAGGTACCCTGTAGAATACTATGCATTAGCCAGCGCCCAAAACCATGTCGCCTGGCAAATCAATTCCGGGATGCTATCATGCCACACTAGCGAATGAATAGCAAAGTACCAATCTGTGTTGACATTGAGAAATGAGACACCACAAGAATCTCTACCTTGTTTTTTTAACGTAGAGCAAGACCATCTTTGAACTCGGGATTGCATCTCGTTAACACCTTGCGCTATGCATCAGTTCGTGACCAAGTTCATCTGGATTTGAGCTTCTCTGTGGAGGAATGTGACCGCGTTTCAAGGCAACCCAACTCAGGGTCGTCGCTTGCCCTTTGCATTCCCACCACTGCGCTCGCTCTCCTCTTTAACCAAGACAACGCAGTCAGTATCAGTCAAGCAATCAACAGCCAAGCTGTCTGTGGTGCTTGCACCAATATTTGTCAAATCCTATTGCCGACCTCAACTTGTTGGAATATGCTCCCAGCCTTGTGGTAGGGCTAGATAACTACCATTTAGGTACTTGTAGTAAGCTTTAAACCCATGCTTCTTCTTCTAATAACAAACAACTTCACACCATATTCCAATACAACTCCATTTGAGACCATCCTTCTCACTTCATCTTCCAATGGCTTCATCAGTCATTCCAGAACTCGCCAAGCTTGACATCATCAAGCAGGACACAGAATCCGCCTCTCACAAAGTCTTCCAAGAACTCGCGATCAAGTCAGCGCAACCTCACGCGGACCGTACTTTCTTGACCGACAGAGCTGTGATCGGCATGGAGCCCATGGAAAATATGCCACACACCGCTCACCTCCTGAATTCCGAACATCTTGCCATGGCATTCACGGAGCTCTCTGCGGCTATGGATGACCCTTTTGACGTCTTCCCCCTTCCGTCCTACACGTACGATCCCTCGAAGCCATGCTACCTCTACACCATACCTCGCGAGCTCCGCGACATGGTTTACGACGACGTCATCTCATCTGGCAACCTCAAGATACTTCGAACCTCGAGGAAATTACACGAAGAAGGCATCAACTTCCTTTACAAACGTCGCGTCTGTCATCTCATCGAGGATTTCACGAAGTACAGACCCGCAATCAATCTCCAGGAGCCTATTGCTGCCTTGATTCAGAACGTCGATATTGAGATAGTTATGGGATCCTCAATGAATGGTCGATGTTGGGGAGACACCACTGATCCAATTCTCAAATTCGGTGGCTCCACTGTCCTGCGACAGACGTGCCGATTGGTGTTTCTCTGTACGGAATACTACCATCCTTTCAACACCAAGCCACGTCTTGAGAAGATCTTGGGCCAGCTCCGTACACTCAACGGATTTTTACGGGTCATCTTGGAATTTCATTATAAAGGTCCGATGCTTGTTGGAGAACAGCAACCCTTACATTGCCGGCAAAAGGCTATTTCTATCTTGAGAGCCGACAAACACTTGGAAAAGAACTTGGGTCCAAGTACCTGGCGTGAAGACGTTGACCCTACCCGCCAGTACTTGGAATTTCATCCGCGTGCCCACCTGGAAGCCAACCAAGGGGGCGTTGTCGCTAACGACCCAGTGCCGCAATGATCGATAGGCGAAGTATTCAAAGCGAGCGGGGATCGCTCTCTCATGCAATGGTAGTAAACCTACAAGGAAGGAAAACAGGGAAAAAACTCGGCAAGAGCGATGGAGGTGTTGGTTGGTTCACCTGCTCCTGGAGCTACGAAGCGGTGGATGACAACAATGACCGGTGCCAACCTTACATATTCAAGTCATAAATCCGTGATTGAGTACATGTTCAGTGTTGGATCATGGGTTTCTAGATTAGAGATGTCCCAACGAGTATTGAGTATAATTACCACCCATCATCAATCGCGTACTGAATCTGCACCGCAGCCGAGTAGTAGATTTTTCTAGAGATCCTACCTTCCATACTTCACTGATGAGTCCGCCATTCGAAAGAAAAATCTTTTAGATTTAGGATAGTGTACAAATCCACAAGACAAGAAACTACTTCTCCCTGCAGACTTGCAAACATTAAGAAGGAAAGCCTGTCGAAGCTGACAGCCGCTGAGTGACATCCTCCATGGCGTCGTCCACCACAGAGATCGATGCGATGCCTCTTCCCGCCCAGCATCTGGGCCATCATCGACACTTTCGAACTTTTCTCACTCTTCGAATCGGACTCCTCGTAGCCTACCACATCTCACACCCCACCTTCGGTATCCTACCTCGCGAGACCGGATGTATGCCAAGGACCCACGATGGAATGTAAGGTTATCAGCGAACCGGTGACGCAATGCAGTTTGTTACCTGAGAAATTCGAAAGGTCGGAGATGGTCTAGTATTCTTACAAAAGCGATTGCTCAGGTCTCTATCGCGGCAGCGACTTTGCAGGCGAAATCCTAGAATCGCTGCCACTGTCAGATGCAGTAGTGTGGGGAATGTTACACTTGAAGATAAGGAGTATCTGAAATCTTGTTCTCTTTCGTATATTATCATTTTTGTGCGCCGTTGCTCGGCGTCTTTGAAGTCCCAGATGTAAGCGTACACGGGCTTGTCACTCCGATCTCGCTGAGGTCGGATGATAGAACTTAGGCGGTAGATTGCAGAACCTCTCAGGAACTTGCGTGGATCCCTGGGGTTTTGGTGAAGTGGACTATTCTGCCTCAAATACCCTGAAGTATCCATCAGCTGCCTGTAGATGCAAATTTATATCCACTTGAGCGCAAACCCATACGCTATCCACAACTTTCAAAAAAGCACAACATGGGCTCTCGGCCGATCCATCGTCCAGCTATCAATTCCCTACCTATGCGCAGCACTGTCCGGCCGTTTATATGACTTTGCCCACCCTTTGCCCCGACTCGAGCTCCAACTCTTTCTGATGCTTATTCCTCACACTCTGCAATGCCCAGAAATTGTAGAGAAAGTACAAGAGGGCCGTGACCACGGTACACGACGCGGTAGCGCCTACCGTGATCTTGGCCGTGATCGAGAACCTACCGCCCTGCTGCGAGTAGACGTTGATGAGCGTCGAGATCAGCCCAGCGGTCGAATTGAGGAGCCCGACCCTATCGTCACAACGTTAGCTCAGTGAGTCTGTCTCGAGAAAGCGTATTTCAAAGGAAAGACGAGGCACTTACAAAAAGATCTTATTGATCAACCAAACATAATTCCTCCTCCACCGCCACCAAAGCCACACCATGCCCGCCCCACCGACGAGACAGCAGAAACCGGCGACCCAGATCAGAGAAGCGTGCTTGACCGTATCCAGCACCGCATGGTCCACCCTGCTATCCTTGGCGTCCTTCTGCAGCCTCTTGTTATCCTCGACGCTGACGAAGGTGCCCGGGACGACGATGAAGCCGGCGAGGAGGATCCAGGTGCTGAACGAGGCGAACAGGTTGTGGGAGCGGGGTATGGTATCTAGACCCAAGAGCATGTCGACGTAGCGGGTTTGCGCGGACGGTTGGGTCGTGTATTCGGGTCTCACGGGGGCTTTGGAAGGTGGTTGCCGTGCAGATTTGGGCCTTGGTACAGGCTTGGGGGCAGCTGAGGGGATCTCGAGGTGCGAAACTCTCGGCGTGGGCTTGCAAGAGGTCGGGACAGAGGGCGGAAGCTTACAATGGCTCATGATGGTGGAATTTGTCTTGGAACCCTCTTTCAAATACACCGAGGTGCGTGGACTCGCTAGGCGCGGTGTATCGCCCAGAAACATCTGTACATCGCAACTTTGATTGGAGACCGGGCGATCAGATGGAGGCTTTGGCACGTCCAGCTTCAGGCATGAACTGTCGTGCGCGAAATTCAAGTGGCTGATTATGGTTGAGAATGTTTTGGAAGGGTCGCTAGGGGAGTGCATGGGGGAGAGCTGGGCGGGTTCGTTGACCGGCAACGAAGGCGCTGGACGAGGTAGGATGAAGGACGACATGATACTCTAGCGTTGCTCCACCAGAGGGCGCAGTGAGTCAAAAATCTCAGGCGACCGATCAAGGGTTTATCAGGGGGATACCGTTCGTCTTTCTTTGTTATTAGGGGAACAAGAGGGCTGATGTTGGCGACATGTCAAAACCTGTTCGCTTTGTCCGTGCAACCAAGACCTTTGACTGCCTAAAAAGGGGCCTTGTCTGCTTCTTTGAGGTTGAAAGGAGGGGCCTTGAATAGTGCTTGTCTTGCGACGAGCATGGCCTCTTTCAGTGGTTGATATTGCTAATCACACCGAGTCGCCCTTGAATCAAATACCGCGTTGTCTACCTTGAACAATGGCCTCGGTGAATCGTGCGATAATAAAAGAGGCACCAACTGTGGGCAACCTACTCGAAGAACCTGTATGGTGAAAAGACGTCCCTTAAATCTTCCAACGAAGACTACAGTAAAGGTATCTTGTATGTAGGGTTCCAGATAGTCGGATGAGAGGGTCAGTGAACTGTTAGCATAACTTGGGGCTGGAATTAGGTTGAGAAGTTAACAGCGAAGTGGCAGTCTGGAACACAATCCGCAGGCACATATTTCGCCAGCATCGCATGTTTGGCTTCACCATTCGGCGCCAATTCAATCCCTCTACTTTTCAACTGCAGCCGAAGAACTTACAACAACTTGGATTCAACGACGTCGTTCATGCTCTTCGTACAGATTCGAGATGCTCACAGTTCTCCACGAGTGACTCGACCGGCATAACCTGCATAGAACACCGTGTCCATGAGTGATGCGAATGATTTACAACGCATAACGACCTTATAACGGAAGTGGTAGAGTCTTTGAGCAAGGTCAAAATAGGCCCTGCAGATGCGGCTATGGCAGTGCAATCAATTTACAAAGCTTTGGTCTAAGCAGAATGCAGGAGTCTTGTAAGGCATACCAAATCTTGTCTGCTGACTCATTGCTGGTGAATTTATCAGATTTGCAACGAGGCCGCGGGCAGCGGTTAGATTCCCCTGAGTGGAACTGCCCGACGATGATCGCCATTGTAATGCTCAGTTTAGGTGTTAGTACTTCGCTCTCGGCCCGAGAAATGACTTGTGAGCTGTCCGGCGTATCAAAGAGATTATACTCGCCGGCACAAATCTTTCTGTATCCAGGTTCGTTATCGAATTGGGCCGTGATGATGGCCTCTAGCTTCTGCGAAAGAAAACATGAGTAATGTGTCAGCATATTAGAGGAAAGAGATCTACTGCCCCCCAGTTATATTCGGGAAGAATTGGGATGACCCGTCCCATTGCATCCTCGAATCTTATCGGTTCCTGACCATTTGTAACGCAGCTCTGGAGAAGGACTGGACATTTGTAGATTGACGATGAAGCTCATGATTTGCACGTTCGACTGCCAGACCTTGCTGGCAAGATCTACCAGGGTTTTCAATTGTGGAGCCATGTCCCTGTGAGTGAAGCCAAGCCGTGCAACAGAGCCTTATATCATCAAGGACCTACCCAATAATAAGGCCGGACAATCTACTCAAAATGGGTTTGTTGTCCCGAGACAGCGACGTATTTGCTTGTAGGTCATGTCGCATACAGACTAGTTCCACATGAGACTTTTCGAGTCTTGTTTCCAGATCGTCATGATCTTTCTAGTTCTGCTCTGCTACAAAGGACGCCGATTTTCTGTAACAGCATGTCAGTACGGCGGGTTTGAGGCCTCGATCAGCTACTCATAAGCCTTGCGTGATCAGTCTCATATTCAAGCTTCCCACATGTGCTACATGTAGGCTCTGAGTTTCGTGACTTCCTCTTCCATGCAAAAGCCCCGTCTCAGCTTTTTGCCCCACGTCTTCACCCTGTCCATGTTTGACACATGCCCTGCGGAGGCCGTCCCGTCATATTCTCTACGACATCATTCATCCTATCCTCCGTTCCATTTGCACTCGAGACTTCGAGGGAGGTCATGAACCTCGCGAACTGTTCCGGCATGTGCATGCTCATGAATTTGTGTACCCTCTCTTGCTCAGAGCGCTTGACATGCACGACTTTGCGTCCCAACCCGCTGCTGATTTTGGCCGCAATCTGCATGGACATTGTCAGAGTTTGCGATAACGTCACTTAATGAGCCAAAAGGTTGGGAATATACCTCATCGTAGGTCAATAGCTCAGGACTGGGGATCCTATAGTCGGTATTGTGCGGGTTCGTATCTGTGAGCGCATGGAAGGCGACAGTCGCAATATCCGTGGCGCTGACGAATGGAACCTTGCCATCTTCCTAAGCGGTGTAGATCTTACTCTCATTTTTAATGGTGATCCGATGCGAAAATTTCGAGAAACTCTCTACAAGGCCGTTGATAAATATGATACATTTCCTTCAGGTGTGGAGCGTCAAGGAAGAAATGTACCTGTGAACCATGCAGCTAGGAGCACAGTATGATCAACGCCGACGTCCTCCAGGTGCTGCCACACTTGCCCCGTGTAATACCTATCCTTCGTCAGTGAGCTACCAGACGGGAGAACGAATCGCTTTACACCATGCTTCTCGACTGCAAGATCGAGGAAAGCGTTCATTGAAGGTGCAGTATCCTGCAACCCAGGAGCAATGAGAGAGACAACGGAATGCTCGCACCATTAGGAAATACGTGCTGGAATGGATTCTCGTGACTTGAGCAGTCAAGCCAGTCATACTTTGTCGCCGGCATTGCGGCCGGAGCTGCGGCCTCAGCTCTACGGGAGGCTAAGAGAAAGGGAATCTTCGCATCCTGCAAGCGCGCAACGTGTTTGGAAGTCTTGCACGTGCCGCCCGTCAGAAGTATTACCATAGATTGAATATTGAAGACTGGGAGCTTTGGATGTGGCTAACAACTCCGTGCCGGGATATTGAGGATTGCTGTAGCTGGCTTTTTTGTAGACAGCGAAGCGGAGCAAGGGGGTGGGAGCTTTCGATCTAACCATATCCAGGCTTTAACTCTGTACGTTCCAAATATCCCTTGCGTGGCAATAATCGGAGATTGGGTCTCAAGGCGCAGAGAGCCAAGGCCATCATAGCTGATCAAACAGGTGTAGACAAGTATCATCCCAGAAGCATACAGCATCTACAGGTATTACCGCTTCTTTTACCAGTGATCACAAGCTTTCTCGCGCATTCAGCCTTTCTCCGTGCCTACGTGCGGCTGCCTCGGTCTCCTCTCGGTCTCCTCGATCTCAACCTCGTAGGCGTGTCTGAGTAGCGTTCCACCAAGGCTGCTGGTTGCAAGTGAAGGTCTAGCTCTTTGTGGTGAGACGGAGCAGACACTACCATCCTTCCCATGAGCCACTGGTGACCTCTCGGACTGAGAAAAGCATGCAGTGGACCGGGTCTGCTCGTACTGAGCGATTAGACTCTAGATTACTGGTCCTGGTTCCTGATGGTAATCCTTCACTCTACCATTGTTGAAGGCTCACTTTGAAAGAAGCTGCGACTATGTTGCAGCTGCGCTCCCGCCGTCTATGTTGTAATCGTACAATCTGTCGAGCTACTGTGGGGTCTCGAGAGGTCTATTCTGCATTGGCGCTAGACAAGTGCATTTTATCCCTGTCTCCTCTACTTCAGCTTTGTGTGCTCCAACGACCTACGTACTTATACTTCACCACCTACACAATGCAATAGAAAACCATGATATACCCTAGTGACATCTCAATGCTGCAACTGATAGAGGGTACGAGACTTGAGATGGTGTGCAATTTCACTGGCAACGCATTATCATACCTCAGGTGAAGAGAAAAGCGCCCTTCCGGTTAAGCAGGTCAACTCTCTTGTGGTTTCTCATATCGTATTAAGAGACCATAGCGGTATAAGTCAATCTTGAATATTACAAGAGCTTCCGCAGCTACGACGCGATATGTCTGGACTGTCTTCACATCAGAATGTTTTCCGAGTCGCAAAGCGTGATGCTACGAACAATGGCACACAGTCTCATGTAGCGAAACGAAATCGTCAGTCGGTATCATGCTTACCTTGTAGGACTCGAAAGTTTGTCTTCCTTAGCACTCCGACTTTCGTGATCGGTCGCTTACCGTCCTTACAGGCTGAAGTGTGACCGACAGATCCCTTGCGTGTCATGCTCGAAGAGAGGTGATGAGACTTCGTGCGCATATTCCAATGGCGCCACAAATGGGCGCGATAGACGTGGAGGGGAAGCTCGAGATTCCGAAGCACAGCTCCGCTTACAGAAGCTAGAGGAGATGGTCACTAGTCTCATGCGAACGACCAATGAGGATTCGGAGATTCTTCGCAACGAGATGTCCCCTCAGGCTGTGATAGCCGACCAGCGCTTCAACAATCTCCCGCCTCCTACCTCGGATTCGTCTCCGGAAGCACAGTTGAACATGAACGGTCCAGAGAGAAGCTATGTCAACGCCACCCATTGGACAGCGATACTAGAGAATGTCGGTGCTCACGCCGGGAAAAAGCTCTGGATACATAGTTGACTAAGCCTAGATTCGAGACATACAAGGCGTTCTTGAGCAGCATCCGGGTGATACGGGAGAAATACAACCACCCGTTTCTTCCAATGGTCCTGACATTGTACTTGACACAAACCAATCAATGACGCTTACGGACGCTTGCAATTCCCTACCACCAAGACCTACATTGAACAAGCTCCTTTCCGTGTACTTCAACTCAATGCACAGTCAGACCCGTAAGCACGCCGCATCAATCCCAGGACCCTCTGCTAACCCATGTAGCGATCCTTCATACGGGGAAGTTTCTCAGAGAGGCACGTAGTATACGAATCGAGATACTATGTCAGAGCACTAATTAAGTCTAGTACGAATCATTTTCCGTCGAACCTTCTTCCGTCTCTTTCCTCTGGATCTCAATGCTCTTTTCGGCACTGTATATCGGTTCCCAAATTCACGAAGAGGGTGATCAAGAGGTTCTTGGTTCTTCGAACAGTCCTGCGAGAGCGACGTTCCTCAAGAGAGCCGGCCAAGCTCTTATTGCTGGCAGATATCAGAAAGCCAAACCATATTCTGTAGAGGCCGTGCTGTTATATGGAGTATGCAAGTATATACAGAAGGAAGAACAAGACAACGATGCCTGGATGATTATGGGAATTAGTACACGCCTTGCTATGAAGATGGGATACCACAGAGATCCTGGCAATCTTGTCAACATTTCCCCATTCGAAGGCGAGATGAGGAGGAGGACTTTCTGCATCCTAGAGGCCTTCGACCTACTGCTCTCTTTCCAGGCTGGGTTACCCACAGTAATCTACGAGGAAGAGTGTGATACCGAGCCACCAGGCAACCTTTTCGATACAGATTTTGACGAGGACTGTAAAGCTCTCCCACCTTCCCGGCCGCCAACTGACTCAACACCAATGTTATACTATCGTTACAAAAGTCGACTAGCGAAGATATTCCGCCGCATTCATCGGCATGCACTTTCATTCAAAATCTCATCGTATGAAGATACAATGAAACTGGATGCTGAGCTTGAGGAGACGCACAAGGATGTGCCTCCCAGTCTTCGAATGAGACCCTTGGCTTTGTCATTCACAGATCAGCCTTATATGATACTGAACAGGCTGTACTCTGACCTGTTGTATCTGAAAAGTATCTGTGTCTTGCATCGAAAGTATCTCAGCCAGGACAGGTCGGACCCATCGTTTGGCTACTCCCGAAGGGTTTGTGGCGACGCAGCTCTGCATATACTGAAACATCAAGCCGAGCTTCATGGAGCATGCCAACCGGGGGGCCTATTTTACGACCACAAATGGATGCTCTCGAGTCTTTCATGCCATGACTTCCTCTTGGCAGCAATGATCACCTGCCTGGACCTCTACGAGTCCCACAAGCAGTCGGCTACTTCATCGGCAAAAGGTATGGAGGCTCAAGTCAAAAAATACGACGCTTTGAAACACTCTCACGGCATCTGGACGTCGCGCAGAGAGTTCTCTCGGGACGCGCGGTATGCTTCAAGCGTTCTCGCTGTCATGCTCTCGAAAGTGCCAAGACCAAGTTTCCCGGGAAAAGCGCCCCAGAAGATTTCGAGTATGACGCAGACCCCAATGAACGGAAACGGACCATTCGGTGCAACAGTGAGCCACCCGGAGAGCTCGCCGTGGAACATGGACGAATTCGATCTTACAGACCAAGAGCTTCTTACCAATAATTACGCTCCACTTGATTTCACTTCTACGAGTACTCTGAACACGGTCTTCAGCGAGTTCGACAACATTGATTGGGTGAGCCGAGAGTCCCTGCTAATCTGCTGATGACGGCCGGCTTACTGACGACCATGCAGGGTCTCGTTGATCAATCTTTAGTTGGTCTCATTGGTGACGATGATGTTCCATTTGATTGGCAGTTACTCGACGCGTCTGAAGCACAAGCTTTGACATGAGCAAGCTCTGTTTGTTAACATCGATTTGTGAAGCATGGACGTCCTCACCCTCCAAGAGAATAGCCACACCCGTCTTTTGAGTTCTGAGCGTTGTTTCTGACTGAATTTCTATTCTGGACTTTGACCTCCGCTGCGGAAAGTTTCAGTGATAGATCTTACATGAGCACAGCTTTTCGGGAGAGAAGGAGGCCCTCCTACATATTCACTATAATAGTACGAAATTTCCAATTTACAGGACAGCACACTCGTATCTCGACTGCCCTCTCCAGTTAGGTCCTAAGCCTTATAGAAGCACAATGATAGGCAAACCAATTAATGGATCCGGTTTATTGCATGTCGGGTGTGACTATCTATGTAGGCAGTACCATTGAAATTTGTTGTGACGCTCGAATAGCCTGGTGCATCGCTACTGAAAGATTCCCTTTCGATAAATTCTAACAGAGGCTAGTCCAGCAATGATGCTTCGGCATCAAGAACCTTGGCAAGTGTTGTCCTGCTATGACTGATTCAATGCGAGAAGTTTATTCTTTTTGACTTCGAGCTTAATACTCGTCCGTGTCGTAAAAAGCGGTGGCATCCATTGTGGTATTCTCATATCTTTACCACATCGTTGGGTTGACGGTTCGAGAAAAAGAAGAGGGTCAAGAGGTTGGAGAAAAAAGTTGGCCCGATTGATGTTTCAGATCTTTGAGAAACATAGACATCAAGGTGGCATATCATGTAACTGAGCCTGCCCAGTGCATCATTCGCGGCTTTTCTCCAACTCATGATCATTTGGGAGAAAGGCATGGTTTCCAATGTCTTTTCTACTACCTCATTGTTGACAGCTATCTCGATGACAGGCCGGAAGACCTTGGAATCACTCCTGGGGGTCGAATTTGGTATCGCTGCTGAAAGCCTCCCACTCATCACAGATTTCCATCTTCTTCGAGCAACTACCACGGATTTTTTCGACCGCGTCCGCACCGACGGGAAATCTAGTAGGTATGGACTTGCCTGCGGTCCTGCCTTCTGACCGTACCATATCCACGATGCGATCCGCCGCCTTCCTCGGATCGCCTTGTTGGGTACTATACAACGCACTGACTCCAGCCTGGTATAGCTTGTTGAATTCTGCATAATCCGGGATGCTAGGATGGCCGAACTTGATGTTGGAGGGGCGAAGATGTTGGTCCGATAATAGCCTGGTACAATGAGGCAGCACTGGATACCGAACGGGGAAATCTCTTCTCGGAGACAATCTACCATGCCTAGTAGGTTTGACTGTATCAGCAAGCTAGATTCGAGGTGAAAATAGCACCGAGGGCGGCTGGCGAGGAGACGTACTTTCGAGAGCACCTTTGGTGGCGGAGTAGGCACCTGCCCCAACGGCACCAGTATAGGCTCGAATCGAGCTCATGAACAAGATGATGCCTTTGCGTTTCTCTCGAAAACGAGGCAGGAGGGACCGAGTGAGATTAATAGGCCTGAAGAGGTTCGTTTCGAATGCCTTCCGCAGTCTGGTGGTGCTATGCGAGAGCGAGCATTGGTCAGCGTAAAAACCAAGCGTTGGTCTGTCAAGGAGTGGGAAGGGTGTACTCGAGCTCTTCAACGAGGGCGGCTTCAACGTATCCTGCGTTGTTGACGAGCACGTCAATTCCAAGGCCTAGGATCGCAGCACCTGCATCTTTGAGATGTTGAAGTCGTTCGCGGCCTCATCTGGCTGTGGCTATCACATGATCCCCTTCTGCTAAGATGCTGTGGACGAATTGCTCCCCAAAGCCTAACGAGGTGCCGGTGACAAGCCAAATGAGTTGCGGCATGATGCTTGAAACACAAAATGATTTCGGAGAAGTAGTCACCCCATCACATAGCGTTTGTCGAGCCTCAGGGGCACAGATGATGCTATTTCGGCATTCAACCGTGAACCGTACCAAAATTTTAATCCATGCCTTGCAGTTGAATACGCTCTCACCTTTACTAGTAGAATATGGAATCGATCGCCATTGAAGAATGCAGCTGGCGTGGTTCAGATGGAGCATTAGACGTTTCATTCAACTGTAGAACCTGACAGGGCAGATGGCTTCAGGCCAATGAAAGACGTCTTAGACCAATAGTATGACACAACGGCACGGAACCCGAAGAGCATACCTGGAGTTGGGTTCGGCGATACCGATTTTTATTCACCAAAGAATGTCCCTTTGAGCCGAATGCGTACGGAGCACACAGATGTGGTGGCGGGGCCAACCAGCATTGAGCGAAGGAGCGAAAAACTCCGCCACCGAAGGAAATGAAAGCGACGTGGCAAGCGAATTAGTGAAGAAGCCATAATCAGCTTTGGTGGTGGATGGGTGATTTTGATCACATTGGAAGAAAACAAAAACAAAAACAAAAAGAAAACAAAAAGGCCCAGAGTCGGTATCGAACCAAGGAGCAAAAGGAAAATCACCCAGACTACAGGAGCTCCAGCTTTATTTATTAAAGACTGTGCATATTCATCTGGGTGCAAACCCTCGAACCGACGTTAGTGGCAATGCTGTACTAGGCCAAAGCTGGACGAGTAAGGCCTCATCAGTTTTAACTTGGGTGTTCCAGTGTAAACCACTAGGCCATACTGCTCGATGGAAATTATTCGGCTACAAAATAATATATCCTTGATTAAATTTCATTTGGCCTGAAATTCCTACGACATGCCTCTGAAGCATCGTCTCCTTTTTTTTAAGCTGACTATACTCTCTACCTTGCGATCGAAGTAAGTTTTCTACTACTTGTCTACGCGCTATGCAGATATACATAGGGTCCATGTCTCGGTTCTAAATGTGAGCGTTCAGGCCATCTTTTTGGGTCACTTTGCTAACACTCTCGCCACCAGAATGTCTTAGACAGGGACGTCAGCCAGACATTTCGCACGACCCTTTGAAAGCCTCGAGCGTTCTTACAAAGCAACCAGCGCAAGCGGTGCAACCTTGGACAGAGAGCACTTTGTCATTAGCGCTGTCGTTCGACTTCGTCTTAGCCCGTCACTCGAAGATCTCGAACAAGCACTACGACATGCTTGAAAGACGTTGCGGTACTGACTTCTCTCACATTGCGGCCTATTGTCAGGGGACACCTACAACTACCAAGTCCTTACCCTTTCTACCATCGACTCCTAGCTCTCCGAGACGTTCACCACTGAGCAAGTTACATCCTCCACATTCAGCTTGTGCAAGGCATCAGCTCCAATTGAGCGAGCGAAGATGCATCATCTCCCCTATACCTCAGAGTCCTTTTCCGCTCGTTTCATTGACGCGTCGATGGCATCGGATCTCTACATCTACTCAACCACTTCCTCAAAACACTCGCCCATCCACGGCCCACCCAATTCGGAGACGAGGCTCAAAATCTCTTCATCGGCCTGGACGGAGCCGTCAAGGTTCCCTTGGAGGTGACGCTTGAAATGGAGCAGTCTGCTACGGACCTTGTCCTGCAACTCGTCAATAACGTATCGTCAATGGGGCTGCCCACCAGCACGAACCCAAACTCCTGGTGGCAGTGCGCGCTGCGAGATAACGTTCAATCGGCCACTGACATCTTCCATCCTCGCCCGATGCAAGGCTTCTGGCGTCAGATCCACAGCGGCCACGCACGCTGCTGTTGTTAACACGAATTCGCGGAATGCAGATCCCGGAAACCCTGCGGATAGATACACAGCGTTCTCGAACTTTGACCCGCGCAAATACTGCCCGCCTCCGTATAACAGTGCCAAGAAGGCTGTATCGAACTTCCATACCAAAGTTCCAGTGGTCATCAACCTTTCCTGCTCCAAAGAGAATGCTGCACAACTCTAAAAGCTATACAGCTGGCGCTTAAATGCGTCAGGTCAGGAGGAGACTTCTTTTGGTTCCTAGCCTGCTACGTAGACAAGGTGTACACGCTGTTCACACGACCACCGCGGCCAGTGTCATTGCCGCAGTATGAGCCCAGCCCGAGCAGTCTGGGTGTCATTGATGACGTTATCGCTCACAACCATGGAGAGACTGTTCGGATTAACGATTTCTGGCTGGGCGTGGAGATTACGAGTCACCGATTGATGGCATACGTATAGACTCATCAGGGAAAGTTGCAGCGGAGCGCACGTTACAATAAATGCTTCTGTGCTCGCGACTTCGTTGAGTTCTTTTAAGGGATTTCCTTTGGCATCGCCAGGAGTCACAAAGTATACATGCAGAATCTCTTCGAATAACCGCCACTCCCCGACATCTCATTTGACAACTTCTCCCGTGTGGCCAGCGTCAACTCATCTGCCGGTGAGATTGCCCTCTGACTCGTCGTCGGCGGTACGATCCTTGTGACATCTTACCGTCAATTCTGTCTCGAAGACGTTATCTTCGGGCCTGACTCCAAGGCCGACCGTCGTATACAGCTCTTAGTGGTAGTCCCTGCTTCAAACCCTTTGATGCCGGCTCCAGGTACTGCTTAGGGCGTTTCATTGCAAAGCGAGAGGTCATAGGGTTCGTGGCATTGACGGCGCATCGGTACAACTTATTTCCACGGCATCAAGATGCCCGAGGATGGTTGGGTCCCAGCGTGGGTATCGGTACAAGTTATCCCTACGACATCAAAATTAGGGGTTCCCGAGGATGGTCGGGTCCAGGCGTGCCAGCCTACGCTGGGAATCGTAGATAGGGATCTTACTGTCTCGCCGAGGATATGGGAAAAGCGCGAGACAGCAGTCTGAAAGAACTTGCTATCGTAGGCTCCCGTACCTGTATGGCAGAGAACCGTGGTAAGACCTCAGGATTTGTGCGTGTGGTGATTTGGTAGACGATTGGGGTTTGTCTGAGGACTGAGGACTAATAGCGAATCAAGAAATCAAGATATGGGTTGCAATCTCATTAAACATCGATTCGAATATATGACATACGTGTCTAACAAACAGCTCTGAGATCGCTCTCTTTCAGGACCAAGCATAAACAGTCTCATCAATCTCTGTTGATGTTCAGGATCACGTGATATGTCAAGCTTTGGCGTCTTGGCGCCTCATGAGCTTGGCGCGAAACTACTTGGCGCGCCTCATCCTCATCGCGACCACGGAGTCGCTCTCCCCAGCACTCTTGGACTGATACAACTACGTGTACTACCTCGTATTTTCCCTATCTCTTCCGGTATCTTTATCGGGTTATCGCGGCAACAGCTAGCCTGAGCTAACGCGCCAAGATTGTTCCACTTCGTCGCCGCAGGAGATCGTGAGTGAAGCGATCCATCTGACGGACCGTCATCTCAATTAGCGATGCGACCGCCAAGACTTTTGTCTGCTGCAGACATGTCTGCGGACGGTCATTACGGTCACGAATAGGAGGCGTGACAGCTAACCCGATTAGGTAGTGGCTTACACTAGTGTGCTACCTTTCGTCTAATATTTTGAGGCTACTTTTCAGGGTTTTTTTGGAGATTCCAGGGGTTTTGAATTGTTTCTCTACAGGATCTCTGCCCGCAGACCGCCAAGACCTCACTTTGAAGCATTTTCAGCCAATCAAATGGCTTAGTCACGCTCGGAGGAACTTCTATCCGGAGATTACAGAGATTACAGTGCTAACGGCCAAAATGTGGTAATTACTGTCATTACTGTCACGAATACATTCTGACGGTCATCGCGCATCGCTAATCTCAATGCCTCCGCGAATAGGACGCAATGGCGCCGTCGTCAAACCCTCTTTATCCACCAAGAGTCAACAAACTGCCAGACACACTGCAAGCAAGGTCATTGATTTGACGCGCGAGTCCACCGACGAGACGTCTGGAAAGAGTTCTGGAGAAGAGTCGGCAGAAGATGAGGAAATTGACGACGTGCCGGAGCGCCATGGAGAAAGACCTGATAGAAGAAGAGGACACCGAAATTCGAGTGCTGGCATGCAAGGAAGGGTTTTAGGAGCGGTTAAAGCGAAGGAGTCCATACTGGAAGACACCTTCGTAGTGACAATCTTGCACCATAGACCCTGGGGCATGGGAGACGACCATGCCACAGTTGGTGTGTTTCCCACTGAAAAGGAAGGCGAAGACGCGGCTTCCAAGGACTTTCTTCAACGGTGTGAAAGCCAGGCCGATGGGTGGGAATCCGAGTGGCGTCGCCATCCAAGAGATGGCATGCTGCAACTCTGTGGATGCTGTGAAGATGGAGAGGTTGATTCGGAGAGGTATACGGCTTCGATCAAACGAGTCCAACAAAAGCGAGTGGTCACTGTCCAGCCATGCGTTCCAAGCGCCGCTCAATCCAAACCCAGGGTCGTCAAACCTCGTCACGTCTACCTCGTCATAGAAGAGCAGAGGATAAACATTGGAATAGACGATCCACGAGGGTTCTACAATGACCTGGGCGACGCCAAATCTGCCGATATACATGGGATATATGTGGACTTGGACGCCGCGAACGATTCTGCT